CCAGGACACTGCCTTCATTGACGAGGACATTTCTACCTTCAACGTATTTTTGGATAACAATAACATGAAGTAGATCTAGAATAAATCTCTAGAGTGGATGGGTGGCGAAGCTCGCTCAATCCTTGGTGGGGATCTTTAGGTTTGGACAAGCGTAAAGGCGTTTGCCTTAGGGGGCCTATAGATCAACACAGGTGCCGCAGGCCGGGGTGTAGTTTTAACAATCCATAACAATCCTTAAAAGAACATGGGTCACAAAATTAAATATCGATCTTGTTTTGTTTGGGGCCTGTGTGTCTGCCCACCAGAGGCTTAGAACTTGCCACTCCAGAGTTTGGGGTTTCGATCAACCATTGAAACTGCTGATCGATCGTTTGGTGCTTGCGGAAAATAGCCAGTGTCAGTTCTGACTTCTTTAGTCGCACAAAAGGAGGCCATGCAAACTGATCAATAGACAGGGGGTGCATTCAAAACAAGTTCATCATAAAGTCGACCTGGGCAGGTGGTGATCATGGACAACCTTTTATGCTACAGAAGCAAATCGATGATGTATCCAGTGGTGCCTCTTGGCAACACTATGGACCTGCATATTTTTGGTTTGACTCAATTCATCTGATCTGTTGCATGCAAATTCATGCATGCAGCCATGGCACGAGCATCATTCCAGGCCTCATCAACTCGAAGAGCAATGCAGCAGCTTAGAGCTCATGTGAAGGTGCCTGAGCTTCATTGGTCGTGTGGTGACAGCTTGGCCAGGGTGTGGTGGGTATGCATGACAATGGAACCTGAGGAGGCAAAATCTGCATCGCATCCTGAGTCTGCTAAATTGGGTGATAAATCTGGATTCAACGACAGCAGGGACTTCTGGACGCATACAGATCTACCAGGGGTGGTAACTTGGATTCAATCGCATAGTGCTGTTCAAAGAAACAACATCCTTGGTCTCGAGTTGAGTCTGCATTGAATGCACTTGGGATTGGTTCCCCCCCAAGTAAACCCCAAACATATTTCCGGTTTATGTTGAAACTTGCAACATGCAAATTGCAAAGCTGAGGAACTACACTGGGTTGATGTACCCATCAAAGATGGGAAGGATCCGACTCAGGTGACATTTCAGAAACAACCCTTGTTGTTTCCACATGAGGTGTTGGCCTACCTGTTTAATGAAGTGAAGCTCGAGGTTCCCTTGTCAGAAAGAGCCTTCTACTGGAACAGTGCGAGAGAACGTGGTGAGGAGTGGGCACGATACAGCGCTGCCGATGCTACGTACCACCCACTGGGATTGTACGGAGACGCAGCGCGTCTCCCAACGATATACAAAACTGAACGTGTTACTGGACTATTTATGAACCTTGTTTTGTTCAGGCCTGCCACAGTGCGTTGCACCAGATTTCTGCTATGGTCCGCAGATGATACATTGCTTTACAAAAACAGGTCGACCAACACCATCTTACGGTATGTAGTGTGGAGCCTGCAGTGGGCGTATCACGGATTGCATCCTAGCAGAGGTCTTGATGGCAGGCCAATCCAATCTGCTGTAGCAGGCCAGTGGCTCACGGCGAAGCATGATAAGTTCACCGTCACAGAGTTGCGTGGGGACTGGGAATGGCATAGAAAGATCTTCCGTTTCCGGGCATCGTGGAAGGCCACTACAAAGTCAATTTGCTTCAGGTGCACGGCAGTGGGGGAGGGTGCACCAGGCATGAGATACTATGATATTGGGAATGACTCCATATGGCTTCGTGAAGGTCATGGAGTTGAAACATTCCTGTCTCAGCAATTGAAGGACAAACACCTTTGTAGCTTATTTGCAAGTCATCTTTGTTTACAAAAGGCTAGATTTGCTTGCATTCTTGTTCACATCCTAAGATCTGAGAACCAAGAACCGGCCTATATTTCATGCTTGCATTTGGTTTTTTTGAATGAATGATTCTGCTCAATCAACGGGCATGCTGAATCTAAGGTCCATTGATTTTGCTGGACAACTTTCATCCGTCCTGTATTCGGATTTGTTCCATGCATACGATACAATTGGGCCTCCTGTTTGCAATGAATGGAGGCGCACTGAAACCCAGTTTGGAATAGTTAACGTTCTTCTTGGTTTCCCTCTGTACCCGGAAACAGCTCAGTTTTGGGGCAACAATGAGCCTGATCCCTCAACTCTGTCATTGACCAGGTTGCAGGTAGCCAAAGGCAAAGCGTGGTGATTGAAGTTCTCCAGGTTGAAGTCCTGGTCAAACTGATTTGTTCCCAGGCTAGTGCCTTGATTTTTTGGGACACTCTATTATATAGGTTAAATTCATGGTCATGGCCAATATTATCCTCAAGGCATTTCAAGGCACTAGCTTTTCCTACGCAGCGAAGGCATATGTTGTGTCAAGAGCTGCAGCATTTTGGTGCTTACAATGGTCAGCTTCAACTCCAGTTGGATTCAGCCTATGGATCTTTTGTGGGTTTCTGCCGGCGTATGAAACTTCACCATAGCCAACCTCCTTTTACTGTTCGTATGGAACCTTGATCGATTACGCGTATGTTCCAAATCAAGATTTTGTTTTATTTCACCGTACTGCGCATTCTCACAAAGACTTTTCCGAATCTGAGGTGGAAAAGAAATCGGGGGACCTCATTTTGACTGCTAAAGCGTTCAATGGGAGAATCATCATGTCGTGGTTGAGCCATGAGCTACAGGCAGCAGTTGTGTCCGGTCTGTATCCAAATCACAATCGGTTGGAGATGTGCTCAGTGTGCATGACCCTGCATTGCATCATAAGAGCGCACACATGATTGGCACTCTTCATTCATGCAATGTTTTTGCTGCAATTCCTTGAGCCCTGGCCCTTGTCCTGTCCCGACTTGCAAGTGCATTGCTGCTGAGGACAGCCATTGCGGAGGTACAGCACATATCTGAAAGGAATGGACGCATATTGTGCCTTGACTTGCCATAAAGAACATCATATATGAATTTTCATGAATATAGAACATGGTGCATTGTTCTTGGATCAATGTGCATGAGAATGAATGTGAGTTTGCAATCTTTGGTGCTTCTGGGAAGTTTAAATGAGTTCAGGACCAGATTGGATGCCTATCAAATCTGGAAGCAAGGGATGTTGTTCTTGGACACCTACAAAGCACTGCAGATTCTTTCTGTGAGGCTTGATGTTTACGACGACGCATGAATTTGTTTTGCATGCTTTTGATGTTCATTGACGCTTTGTTTGGGCAAACAACACTGCTGCCAGGCAAGGCCGTGAGACCTTTTTGATGCGCCCCAAGTACCATGAACCTTGTTTGCAAGTATCGACCTGTGTTCAAGTGCACTCCCAAGGATCTGCACGCACGTTGATCAAGTTTGATCTACTAACGCTAAGGGTTTGTTGAGTGTTCCAACTAAGATGATGGCTCATCTGATCTACTAACGCTAAGGGTTTGTTGAGTGTTCCAACTAAGATGATGGCTCATCTTCTATATGATGCTTTGTTGACACGCATCTTGGCCTCCAAGAGCTGGCTATCCCAGGATTTTGAGAACAATTTACACCCCGATACACCCTGAAATTGAAAAATAATGAACCGTTGGACGAGCGTTGGGCCCAGGTGCCAACTGGCGCTTTTGGCACACATACACGGACGAGGATGGAATGCGGTGGCTGAAAAGCAACTTTGACATTTATGGTGGAGATTGGACTGCGTTCCCATTTTCATATTGACCAATAGATTGTGATCGTATTGCAACCCTTTGTTGCAAATAAGGCATATCATCTGGAACCCATGCTGGCAATCGAAGCAGGTGGATCCTTCGATGCGGGCGTCTTCGTATGCTAAGCATGAAGCACCGCGTCAAAACGTTTCTCGGCTATTTTCATCGGCCATGTTGATCTAGCATGACAAGTTCCTGCTTTGTTGGGACTTCAAGTGGGATCTAGACTGATTGTGATTGATCTAAGGCTTGTGGCATCCTCCAAGTGGAGGGCAAGAGCTCGTGGATGATCAGTGTAGAAAAGAGATGAAAACAGAGTTCACTCAAAAGGGCCAAGCGTGAAAGGTCTGTTATCACAACCGACATGTTAAAAATAGCTGTTAGATTTGGAGGGTATATATATATTTACTCATCTAGCTATTACTATGTTGTTATTTATTAAGATGTGGTGTTTGTTTTGTTAGTTGGTTTTCCGTGTTCGTCTCTTTGTTGTTGGTTGGATGGTATGCAAGCTGTGTGGAATCTAGTGAGATGGGTTGATCGGGAATACATACGCCTATGAATTAGAGTGTTTGTTTAGTTTGTTGCAACAACAAGTTAATTCAATGAAGCGATTGTCCGAGGATCTTGAAGAGATATGTGTTGCTACCTTTTCCTCCTTCCTGGGATGTCCTGTAAGAGATGATCTTGTTGGATCTTTCGTGCCCAAAACATGATGGCCAAAACTTACTCGGACGTGGTTCCATGGTGGCATCCCTAGGGAGTCGGGCTCAAAAAGCAACCATTCTTAGAAGTTGGATGTTTTATGATGTTTTAGAGTCTAAACGTGCATCAGATGTTTAATCCCGGCTTTGAGTTTCTTGTACTGTACGTACGTATATAGTTTTATACACATAGATACATACACATATTTACTGTATATGATAGAATCTATACGGCGGCTATTCCTAGCATATTTTAAATGACGAGCTTCTGGATTCTGGATGACAACTTACTTAGCAGTGCTTGCAGGTCTTTAGTTCGAACCCAAAGTGGTTATAGTTAATCATGGTCAAATAGCTATAGACTTGATGGATCAATCCGTTGTAATTCCAGTGGATCCAATCCAACGACTTTGTTGGTGGAAGGACTCCACGCCTTATCTAAGCTATAAAAATGCGACTTCGTGAATTCTGCACCGGTTTCCTTTCAACCAGATCTCACGGGTGGTCTTCCCTCGGGCAATGAAGGTTCTCACGTGTGGTCTTCCAGACCCAAAGTTCACACGGTGAAGTGAAAAAACCGGACGCCGAATGGCGCCGACACAGGCCGCGTTCGGATCGAGCTCATGTGGCTTGGGCAGAAGAGGGCGCGATTGACGTGGGCGCTTGGTGGGCTCACGGGAAAGAGATGGCCCGGAGAAGGAATGATGCACTGAGAAGATCTCAAACAGTGCATTTACATGCATTTAGGGCATAGAAGGTCCAGTCTCTAGCTAAACCATCTCGTTGGGCGGTGCTACCTCCTGCTATCATCGATTTCGTCCACCTGCGCCAGGTGGGAGCCGACGACCCGGCGTCAGACGGACACGCTGATGCTCTTTGTGTTCAGAAGTATGAACACTGCGCCTTCGTAGCACCGCATTCGCTTGGAGAAACTTGAGGGTTCATGAGAAATGTGAGGCAAACAAACACTGCCCTGCCCTGCCCCACTTGGAGGGAAACTGGTCAGATTACGACGCGCTAACATGGAATGTGGAAACGAAGACTATTGCGAAGACGATGTTCTTCTACAAACAGGTGATTTCCACGTTAGTTCAATTCCAGGGAAGTCATTTGTTCCTGGGATGCGTTCCTACAAAGAGGTGATTTGAGTCGGAGTGAAACGAATCCCATCAGACCTCGCCATGCCGCGAGGTCATGGGCTTGCGTTTCTTCAGCATCGCCAATCTCGCCATCGGAGGCAGCGACGGTAAAGGGTGCCCGGCCACGTGGGGTGTGTGCGTGGGGTGGTTTGACACCCACATGTGGGTTCCAATGGGATGTTTCTGTTCACGTGTCAGTAGGTTTGAAGTGATGTTTGTCCCACCATAGTCATGTGGCTATGGGGTCCACAAATGTGTTGCTCGCGACGTTTGGGGGCTGAAGACTTCCGCAAGTTTCCATGTGGTCCTGCTGTTGGTGGACAGTATATTTATATTATATATGACAATAATTATAAGATGGTACCCGGGATGAGCCAATGCACAGAAGCTGCAGCCTGGTAGAAGCTCTTCTCAAGAGCAGGTTGTCTTGTGGGAGGGTGGTTTCACGGCTAGGCCTTTTTGATGTATGAGCCAAATCATAGGCTTTGATTAAAGCTAAATGGGGCAGCATCTGGATGTTATTTGACTTTTTTTGGACAAATGTTTAATTCAAGCTGTGTGGCTGGTTACCGTACTAGATTGGAAGTCTCGTTGGTTTTCACCCGCATCCATACGTTCATATCATGTTATAGCAACTGTAGTAAGACTCAGCGCAGCTGCATTGTTCCATTTGTAAATGACCCACCTTTTGCAGTTTTAGTCTTAATCACCATGACAGCTGCGACTGGTTGTTGCGCCCAAGGGTTCTTGATACTTCTGTCACTGCTCTATGCAGGTAAACCTAGGGGAGCCTGAGAAAAAGAAAAGCATGCCATCATGTATTAAGCATTGCCAAGCTCTCATTGGAGCTTTGATTCATGTTGAATCAATGATGACTCGGCCATCAAGCCAATCCTCTCTAAACTACATGTGTCAGGTTGTTTTATTGCTTTAATTTCAATAAGAATGTGTGTGTGTGTTATTGTGTGTTATTAAAAACAAAGCAAACATCTGAGTCACCGCAAGCCTCTAATCCCTTTCAGGCCTGCTGCTGCTGGTGGCTCAAGGCTCCCGCTGGCTTTGCGCTGGCGACACCTTTGCGGACTGCACGAACGTGGAGGTTCCCGGAGCCCGGGTGGCCGCCGTGCTGGGTGGCATGCCACTGGGGAGCGACGAATCAGATCCGGTCCGATGCGCGGGTTCCGAGGGAATGCCGTTCACGAGGGAAGAGGACCACAGGTTCTCAATACGCAAAGAATAGAATAGTCAAGTACAGCCTTTGGGTCCGTGGGTCCTTTTTTTTTGTTTTTTTGTTTGAGCCGCCTCCCTTTGATTCGCATATGTGAACCGGTCCGGACCCCCAAAGATGAACTCCAGCAGGTCTCGTGACAGTTCCCCCACACCAGACATGTCTGAAAGGGTCTGCAATGGGATGGGTCCTAGTCAACGGGGGACCCAACCACGGAAAACCTATGGCGCGCCCCTCACAGGGGCCGAAACGAACCGAGGGCCGTCCAGAACGGCCGCGCACCTTTTTGAGGCGAGCCGGGGCTCAAGCGCTGCGGAAAACAGTGCAAATCGCACATGAACCAAATCACATGCCGTCGCACCAGTCCAAAGCTTTTCTTGGATCATGGGCGACGAGGCTTTGAAGGTCCTTCATCTGCTGGACCGCGGAAGTCCCAAGGCGCTTTGCCTTCTTCTCAGACTGCACGAAGTTCTCGTCGAACCGCAGTCGCCAGACGTTGTTCTCCTTGAACTGGGCCAGGCCATCTCTGCAGGTCCGACTCTTCTTGGTCAAGCTGTCGGACAGGTTCCAGTCGCCGCTGACCCACACCAGGCGACATCCACTTTCCTTCAGCTGCTCTTTCAGCTGGTACCCTTGAAGGGCGCTTCTAGCATTGCTCATGCCTAAGAGCGGGGCATCTGTCTTGTTGCAAGCGTCGAACACCCCCTTGGAGTCGGTGACGACTATGCCCTTCACATAGCTGACCAGCTTGTTGGCCTTCTCCAGGATGTTGGTGTCTTGGAGAGCGCAGCAGCCATTAAGCTGTGCCCACATGAACCTTACGCGGAAGTTGGAGTCCTCCCCTTCTAAGGTCGCCTGCATTTCACCGTCGTTGGTGGATATTGCTTTGCGCTTCAGGCGCCAAGAACGCCAGCTGATGGTGTTCAGCTTTCCGGCATCTCCGGTGGCCTGCTCAGGACCTCCGAGGCAAGTGAGGATGCCTCCTGTGGAACCACCTTGTGGCCTGTTGGCGTGTGCCTGATCCGCCATGGTCACGACCACCCATTGTTGCCAGTGATCGATGTGAGGCAGCTGCCACAAGCGGATCTGCATCGGATCCTTCTTGAGGTCCTTTATCAACTGGTTGATCTCCACAGCAACGGCCATGTTCTTGTTGACGGTCAGCTCGGTGAGCAAAAGGTTCACCCTTGCGCAGGCTTGGATCTGCGTTTGAGTAGCAGTCCACTGAAGGGCTCCAAGTGAAGCTCTGCATGCCGCCATCTCACCATCGGTGAGGCTGGTCTTTGGGTCAAGGCGAAGCCGTTCATCGCTGATGGCCAGCGGTGGAAGGTCCTCCAGGTAGAAGTCCTGGTTGAGCTCGACGTAGCGCTCCTTGTTCTTATTGACCACTTCCACATTGAGGCCAGTGTAGCGGAAGTTTTCCTCCTTCTTTGAACCCCAGGCGTAGAGCTCGTCGATGTCTTTGCGGACCTTGAGCCAGGTGTCATTGCTCAGGTCGCCAGCTCTCATGAAATCGTCGACGTGGCCTCCGACAAAACCAATCAAGCGGAACTGGTCCGCTTCGTTGATCGGGTTGGGATTCTCCTCCACCCAAATCCAGAAGGAGCTGTCCCCGATCAGGCGGTGAGCGCCAATGCTCTTGAGCTTGGTGTCCACATCACGCCATAGCTCCCGGGTGCATCAGCATTGCCGTAGACGTTGCGGAGGATGCGAAGCAGTTCTCCATCATGAGCTCCAAGTGCCTGTCGAAGTTCGGGCACGCCGGGCGTCCAAAGTTTTCTATCCTCCATCACCCCTTCTCCAGTTTGGAGGAATGCGGTCTTGAGGTCCAGGCTCTCCAGTTTCCAGTCGCGTTGGGCGATGACCGTGAGGGAGAGATGCCTCATCAACTGGGTCGAAACTGGTGCCATGGTGACCAAAGAACCATCCTTGAGGTCGGGGTGCTGGAAGCCAAGAAGAACTATTCTCGCCTTCGCTTTGCGTGTGAGGTTCTCGTCGTAGACTGTGTTGTCGGGGTTCGCGAGGCGATCAGCTTTGGCCTGAGCTCGGTCCTCTTCAGGGACAGGCTTCCATACCAGGACCCATCGTGCGCGAAGCACACGATCTGACTGTTGTGCTTCTTGTTGTTCCTCATAGGTCAAACAGCGTCGCACTGCTTGGGTCTTGAGGAAAGAGGAAACCTCGCCGCCCTTGGCATTGTTCATCAAGCGGCGCTCCTCCTGGTTGAGGTTCTTCCAGTGCACTTCGCTGGAGTTGAGTTTTTTCGCCAGGAACATCTCAGGATTCCTTTGGAACTGTTTCCTCTGGCGGTTGGAGGTGAAGTCCAGCTCAATCTCGAAGACATAGCCTTCTTGTACTTCTTGAAGTGCAGCTTGAAGGTCGAGTTGAAGATCATCTTGATCAGAATCGTCAGTGCGCTGCTTTTTGGACTCTGGTTCTTCTGGTAGTCCAGGATCAGCTTCAGGAGGTTGAGGACCAGGAGGTGGTTCTTCCTGAAGAAGTGGTGTCTTAGAAGACGTTGAAGCTCTTCGCGAACCGGAAGCACTCGATGTAGGCTTTGTTTTGTCGCCTTCATCGTCCATGTTCTCATGGTCGGTCTTCTGTCGTTTTGACTCTTGCTCCTCATCCAGGTCATAGTCATTGACATTGGCTCCGTCATCATCATCCTGAAGTGGCGGTTCAAAGCCAACTGGAAAGCCAGTGTCAGCCATTGGCATTTTGCCATGAAAGCGAATTGCAGGAGGAAGCGTTGAAGACGGAGGGAGTCTTGTAGTCCGCTCGTCGGGGACCTCAGGCAAGTAGGGCTCCTCAGTCTCGTCTTCGCCAGGCTCCTCTCCAGTCATGTCCACGAACTCGCGTTTGGGGATCATGTCGCTGAGCTGCTGCCAGGTGTGAGAGTCATCTCCTTTGGCTTCGAACAGCAGCCTCTCGCGATCGGACATCGGGCGAACGGAGTGAACCGATGCCTTGTAGATGCGGTTGCCCAAAATCACCCAAACCACATGAACTCGATCTCCGTCTTCTTGACCGGGGATCAACTCGTGGAACACGACCCTGCCCGGACCTACCCATCGTGGTCGCTGAGTGTGCCGATGACCACCTTTCTTGCCAGCGTAGATGGTGTGAGGCAAGAACTTGCGCCAGATGTAGACGGGTTCGGCCATCTTGAAGGTCCTTACGGGCTGTCTGATGGATGAGTTCTTGAGCTTTGAGAGTACCAGTCGGGCTTTTGCCTTGCGGGCACAATCCTCCGCCAGTTCTCGTTGGTTGAGAAGTCGTAGGAACTCTTGCTGCTGGCGGTCGATGGGAAGGCTGAGCTGTTGGCGAAGTTCATCCAAGCTCCATGAAGTTTGCTTCCCATAGGCCCATTGGATGCTGGTGTAGCCCTTGACATACTCAGTGTTGTTGTTGGCCCCTGTGGCCATAGCCAGAGTGAGTACTGGATCTTGGTCAGGAAGGGACTGCTGCAAGAGGGATGCAGTCTCCTTGATGTGGCCAATTGCCCTTTCGGTGATGCCATGAGCCCAGCTTTCATTGTCTGGAGGGGGCATCACTTCAATTCCCAAGTCAGCTAGGAACTCGGTCAGCTTCTGGGAAACCAGTGACTTGGCGTTGTCCGGAATGATTGTCTTCGGACGGGGCTTGTCCATCAGCCATCGAAGAGTGAGAGTCTTGATGACCAGGTCAGCCGATTCCACCTTGCACTCGCCGTGCTTGTAGGTGAAGAGTACCTCAGTGACTCGGTAGCGGGTGGCGATGTCCACCATGAGGATGAACTTGACCTTGAGGTTCTGGTCAGGGACAGTCCATTCTCCCACATCAATTCCTAGACATTCCCAAGCGGCCGGTGCAGGATGCACAGATGCTGGAGGGACTTGTTTTGATGCTGTGCCACCAGGACGTAGCTCCTGACAGGTAGGGCAGTGGAAGTCTCGAGCCATTTGAATCTTCCACCGTGGCACTTGAGCATCAACCAGCATGCGCACCATGTTGCGAGGTGCAGGATGTCCGGAAGCTTGGTGAAGTCGATGTAGCTGGATAGCCCATTTCTTTTTGTCATCCTCTGAAGGAGGTGCTGCGTCATCTCCTTCTTCATCATCATCTTCTTGAGGTTGTCCCGAATGCCCATCTTGAGCTGCATGTAGGGTGTGGTCCCCTGAAGTGGTAGGAACCATTGCTGTCCAGAGCATGCGCCACCAGCGATCAGGTAGGAGAACTCGCCGCCAATGCTTGGCAATGGAGCGGCACATAGCCTCTGGATAGTATGCGCTCTTGTTGGTTTCAATTCCATGGATCTGCTCGTGGGTGTGGTTCTTCAAGCAGACCTTGAGGCGGAACTCGGAGTAGAAGTGGATGCTCGTGGTCTTGATCATCCATGGCTTCATCAAAAAGTTGCCAGCCTCCGACTTTAGTCCATACCGGCAACCATCGATCCGGCATTCATAGAGGTTGCTAAGGCTTTCAAAGAACTTGAGGATGATCGGGTCGTTCCATGCTCGGCATCGAAGAGGCCATTCCCAGAAGAGGTCGGTGTCCGGGAACTCGTTGAGCACCTGCAGCAGGAAGGCTGTAAGAAGACGGAACATTTTCCGCTCGCGCCTCCGGCGCTTGTCCAGCACTTCTCGTCGATCATGGTAGTTGAGATCGACCCAGCTGCAGAAAAGAGTGCACATAGTTGAAATCCACACTTTCTTGGGGCGTTGTTGACGAAAAAGATGAAGTAGTGTGGTGTAGGTTTCCGGCTTGTAGAGGTCGAAGCCTTGAGCGAGGTTGATGCGCTCAACTGGAATCCCTTCTCTCATGCAGGCCTCTGCCAATGCAGAGTCTTTGGAACAAAACATCTCCCAAACCAAAGGGTTCTGGCCATAGACGGTGTTGGACATGTTCTCCCTGAGGTTCTCGTTGAGGTGGTGCACCATGTCCATCATCTTCTGGCCCACGTAGAGCGGGAGCTTCTTCACATTCTCCCCGAAGTTCTTCATGGAGAGTGAGGACTGGGCCGGCTGTAGTCCGGCTCGAGCTCCTCCTCCGATTCCGGCACCATGTGTGCTTGGGCTTGGGACTGTTGGACCCTTGTGGCAATCATGCTCATCATGCGGTCTTTTTCCTCGGCCGTGAGGTAGTGCATCGGGTTGAACTCGATGGTGGTTGGAAGCTCGGTGTTCTCCACTGCTTGCCAACTTGATGTCGGCGAGACTGGTTGTGCCTCCTCTGCATAGCCGGCGGAATTGGCCGTCCTCAGATTCTTCGAGTGTGTAGCCGGGTTTGAGGACTTTACCAAAGCTTTGGCTTTGGCGACCGTGGCCATGTTCTTCTCCAAGCGGCTCCTGGCGTCCATCATGAGGTAGCGGATGCGCTCGTCCGCCGTGACCTTGTCCATGAAGGCCTTGACCAACTCCCCGTTCGGGTTCATCTCCTGCGGGAGTGCAGCTTGAAGTTCTTTGAGAGCTCGCTGCACCATGGTCGGGTTCTCGCAGGCTGTGGTGTTCGCCGGAGCTCCTGGCTTTGGAGTGTGGTCCAGCCGCAGGTTGCACACAGCGCAGTGGTGCCAAGTCCCCCATTTGTTGGACTGAGCCTTGTTCGGCACGTGCACGTTGAAGCACGGCCAAACGGTCGGTGATGACCTTGGATCCCGGGGATCTGCTTCCACTCTCCTCTCCTCGTCCAATTCCACAGGCGTGGTCTTCTTCGGAGCCATGAGGTTGAGAGGATCGGGACCGGAGCGAATTGGAGACGGTCGTAGGCAGATTGCCCATGAGCCCGAGTCTCCGGTGCCAAACATGTTCAAACCATTGACGATGTCCACTCTTCGAACTCGAACGAGACTCCGCGAGGAGGGGTGCACAGTCCAAGACCATGTCGAGGGTGAATGCTATAGGTGTGGCCGATTCGAACTGCATGACATGTACTCTTGGGTGACCTTGATGACATGTTTTGCCGTCACTCAAAAACTGAACCACGTCCAACATGAAGTGACCCTTGTAGTTGGTGACCAGGTGAAAAGGGGTTGCATCCGGGCTAGTGGCACAAACCGTGTAGCCATCTTGGAAATCAATCACCAAACCATTGCCCCGGATGAAGTCCATCCCAACCAACACGGGTACGTGGTCAAAATCTGCTCGATGTGCAGCTTGGGGGTCAGGTAGTACAAAGGCCTCAAAGGTTCTTGATGTAATACTTGAGGAGATTTTGACCAAGTACAAAGCCTGTCCCCAATCTCCTGACCCGAAGCGGAACTTGGGTCTCCTTTTGGCATCGATGGCGATTGATGCCTGGTTGTCTTGGGTGATCACTGCTTGGATCAGGTTGCGGATGCTGGTCTCAGGACCAGCACTGCAAGTTGCACCGCAATCGAGCATTCCAAGGCCTGTGGTATCTTTCTCCACTCGGCCAAGTTCAAGGTCAGGTTGGTGACCCTGTTCTTCATCGAATTGAAGGCCGTGGAAGTCATAGTCCTCGGTGTAGTAGGCGTTGACATTGCCCTGGTTCTTGCTGCGAAGTTTTCCATGACCTTTTCCTTTGCCCTTGTGGTTGTAGCCCTTCATGTAGTTGATGAACTCCTCGAAGAAGTTGTTCATCTTGCCATTGCCCTTTTTGCCGCCTTTGCCCTTGTTGAACATGTAGTCCGTGTAGATCTCGTCGGCGAAGTAGACCTGTCGGCCTTTCCCTTTTCCTTTGCCACCTTTGGCGTTGCGGTCAGGGCATTCACGGGCCATGTGGCCTTTGTTGCCACAGATGAAGCATCCATCGGTCTTCGCTGTAGCCGCACCAAAGCCGCGGTCTTTGCGAAGCATCTGGGTGCTCTTGTGAGCTTGTGACCAGGTCCTATCAGCTGTCATGGCTTCAGGATCAAGAGACGTTGAATCCTCTGCCAGAGAAACTTCTCCATCAGGTTCTTCTGGCCATTCGGAACTCTCCTCCCAGGCAGTAGTCGCCCAGGAAGTTCCGTCATCCCACCAATCTTCATCTCCCCAGGTGTCCTCTTCCGCCATGTTGAAGAAGTGCGGAGTGCCATGTCCATGTGTAGGCGGTGAAGACGTTGAAGACCGGTGCATGATCTGCTCGTCGAACAAAACCGTGAGGGCCTCCCGGACGCTGTCGTAGTCCAGCTGGTTCTTGGTTGATGCCAGGATGGATCTCCATTCTTCGCTGCTGAGAGCTGCACCGCTGAGAAGCCGCCATCCTCTTAGTTGAGTGAGGATGAAGGAGTCGGTGATCGAAAGACCAGGAGGGTCTCCAGCTCGAGCACTGCCAGGTCGTGAACCATCAGAACGTGAGCCTTTGGAACCACCTTTGGAAGCGGGTGAAGATGGATCCTCAGTTGGAACGGACTTGTAGCCCTTCTTGTCCTTGTGGCCTCCGTCCGACTCAGAGGACGAAGAGGACTCTTCCAGATCCAAAAAGCCAGCGTGACCTTGATGTCCGCCATGTAGTGCCATGAGCGCCTCCAAGAACTCCTCGTAGTAGAGACTTTCCCTCACCAGGTAGGCATTGATGTTCTCGTGCCCCTGGCGGCGGTAGTTGAAGTACTGCTGAAGCACCGCAGCTGTGTTAGGAAGCTGCTTGCGCACCAGCGGGGATTGCTCCAGCTTGTTCAAGAGGTTCTGCACTCCAAGGGTGCCGGAGAGCTCTTCAAGGCTCCATGACATAGCCAAAAGCCTTGCTGGTCCCGTGAGGCGAGCGACAAGACAAGCTCCAAGTAGGGACCTTTGTGTTTTCTTTGTTCCCATGGTGTACCAAAGAACTTCTCTGTGATACCGGCGCCATCCTCGAGGATTGCCATCCCAGGATGGAATGGTCTCAGCCACCTGCTTGCCCTCCATGGCCAAAATGGCGAAGGCAAGTGAAAAGAATCGCCTCGTTGAGGCAAGGTGCAAAATGAAGACCTCGTTGAGGTACAGGAGAAAGTAGCCCTGAACTTGTAATGGATGAAGTCCAGGAAAAAGCTATGGACGTAGTCCCAAAAAGGAGAAAGTCCAGGATGTCAAAGTCCCGGATGTAGTATCGATCAGCTCTGGCGTTGCCGGCCGACCGGAAAATAAGGATGCCCAATCACCGGCTCTCCCGAAGGCAGCACCACGTTGAGGCGTCCTCCTTCTCTATCCCAACGTCCCACTCGCGTTGGCCGAGCTTGCCGAGGATCGCTGTCGAAGATGTCCCAAAGAGCCGCTGCAGCCCGTAGGTGTTGTGCTCGTCGGTGAAGGTCCTCACCAGGTTCAGGCTCTGGATCAGGCTCCGGGCGATCCCGAGGTCGCGAAGCCCTCGCTTCCACCTGCGCGCGAAGCTGCGGGGTGAAGATGTCGTAGGGTCGCGGACCTCTAGGCGGGGATCGGGATCGGTCCCGCGCTGTCTCCTCCGTGGTTGAAGTCACCGTCCAAGGTGAAGACAACCTGGAAGGATCGCACGATGTAGGCCGCCACGAAGCCCCAGGCAAAGCTCCGCTGCCAATGCAACGGGATGGGTCCTAGTCAACGGGGGACCCAACCACGGAAAACCTATGGCGCGCCCCTCACAGGGGCCGAAACGAACCGAGGGCCGTCCAGAACGGCCGCGCACCTTTTTGAGGCGAGCCGGGGCTCAAGCGCTGCGGAAAACAGTGCAAGTCGCACATGAACCAAATCACATGCCGTCGCAGGGTCCTAAAAGGTCGAATCATCAGCGAGCTGTCGGAGGCTCCAGGAGTCCAGGTAGTTCGACCAGGTGGCCCCTGTCGGGGGATCGTTTCCGCTGGAAGGACCGACAAACATGTGAGGCAATGCCATGAGGGGGTTAACCTGTTAAGCCATGGAATTCTGGCACGAACCTTACAAGGACGCCTTTGTAATCTACTTGGAGTCGAGTGTTGAGAATGTCCTTTGTTTGCCACCAATACGCCGAGCTTGGACTCAATTTGATGAACTTCTTGTACTTGATTGCTGTAAGTTTGCTTTCGACTCAAAGGAACAAGGAAAAAGCTAGGATGCCTCCAAAATGAGGGGCTGGCTGCAACTACAAGTTTCTTCTTACATACCGCTACCGTACCTTTTCAAGGGCACAGAACCTGGCTTCCAGACTACCTCAACATTTGCTGATTTGCCAAAAACAACAGGCAAGCCTGCAGCATCATCCCTTTCTCATCTTTTTTCCAGCCATTGGCAGCGTCTTTCATCTTTCACACCCAACCGACCCCTGCTTTTTCCGCAGACGCTCCATGTATATAGAGCATGTGCCTACATTGACCCCATTTCAACCACCCCAATGTAGCTGGGTAGTATGTCAGTCTCATTAGGCACCGTCTATGACATAATGGTCTATACGAAAAAGAACAGGGACCTTAAAACCACCCCGCCACCCCGCGAGACCTCACCGGATAAAGACCGACCGGAGCTCCCGAGGTCGGCCATCGCCTCCGGCGTCACCAACTTCCTGGGCACCGCGGGCTTCTTCGGGAACACCTGGTCACCTGTCGTCCCCCTCGACCTGGTGGCGGTCTGGGGTCTGGGATCGTGAAGTTCTTCGGGAAACGGTGGGAGTGGACACGAAGCGGGAGGAGAATGAGGACAATTTGGTAAAATGCCCATGACTGCATTGTTACAGGGGCAGTTATGTTCAGGAAGCAATTGTTTGGTCCAACCAAAGCTTGGGGAACCAATCACTGACGTTTGTAAACTGTTATTACAAGCAGTCATTTGTGTTGAGTTGCATTTTTGTTCGACTAGCACGCAGTCTAAATTGCCATGTCAATGTGCATGCTAGCCAGCATCGTACGGCACCATCTCAGGAGAGAAGGGACGCCCAATGGGCTGCTGGATGAGGTTCAATCTGGTTATTTGGATTGGCAGGAACTGCGACATGGGGTGTTTGCTAGTTTGCTATTGGAGGGGTGGGACCACATCATTCCTAATGTCATAATCATAGCTGGTCATGCCATGGAAAATGATGTTTCATTGCTGGGACGTGGTAGATATGGACATCAACGTCAAACGAGGTTCCACATGGAAAATTGACAGTGTTCCACAATCAGTCTTTGCCTGAACCCTCCGTCGTAGCAGAAAAAAAGTGACAGAAAAAAAAACTGCACATCATCAAAAAAAGTGTTCATGCCTTGAAAAAGCGTACCACTGGAAAGTCAGATGTAGCTTCATTCCACCTTATGTGGTCTTCAAGTCCATTCCCCTGCCACATGCTGGCACCCATCCCATGCACACACAACACACGCTCACACACTACGAAGCGGCAGCCAGCAACCCCTTTCTTTGATCATCAGTATCAACATAAAATATTTACAGTAAGTAAAATAACAATCCGCCACTTTTTAAAATTGCGCCCGGGTTGCGGGAATTTGCGCCCGGGTTGCGGGAATTTGCGCCCAAGTTGCGGGCACCCTTTTTGGAAAAATTGTTGTAAAGCACGCCCAGAAGGTTGGAACCAAACCTTTGTGGTTTCATTTGCACATACTACTAGTAGGAGGTCATATAGGATTTCCACCCGGTCCATAGGGCCCCCAAAGGCCCACAAGGGTTGATAAGGACACTGGTCAGGAACCAGTAGGCTTTTGAATTTACATCACCAAAAAGCGCTCATATGTCCTGAAAAGTGTACATACCCTCAATTAACGCTCAAACTTCCAATAAGTGCTCCAAACCATGGTTCGCCAGAAATAAGTGCTACAAAGGATGCTTCAGGTGAGTATAATTACCAACGTTTCATTCGCGTCCAGATGATTCATTGGATCGAGAAACATTGAATGACCGGTGTCCAGAATGACTGACTGCGAGACCAGTGATACTCCATGCTTGGTGGGCATGGCCTGAACACCCACCAGATGCACAAAAAGAAATGAACGTGTTGCTAGACTATCCTTTTTTTGGATAGCTACTAAACAGTTTTTGTGTAGACACTGGTCTTGTCGGATCTTGTTGACACTTCGATGCCACTTCCATTATTTGTCTCTTTGGAGGCTAATTTACCGATAGATAGAGTCATCCAATCACCAACTGTGACCGACCCAAGCACCCAACCAGCTTGCCGTAGGCCCGTCGTATTGGCACCTGCACTCCCCTCGAGTCATGGTGCGTTTTCATCGCGACCCGCGAGCTCAACGGGCCGTGCAGGACGATCGAGCACCTGCCGGTTGGGCGTCGATCAAGGCACCCACACTGCAGCTGCAAGTGGAGAGCCTCGGTTTAAACGCGACGCCGAGCGGGAGGCCGGCGCGGCCGTCCAAAAGCATGCCTCCGAGGGAAAATGGAGGGCTGAACAAGAATACTTGGAACATCCATTTCTGGAAGGTCGCCCATTTCTGGAAAACTCAGAGATGCTGCAGTTCGCAACCAACCTTCGAGAAGGACGCGGCCAAAAGCCTGAAAGGCTGGGCATTTGAACTTTCTCTTTGCCAGGAATCTTGTGTTTAGTTCCCTTGTTCCCTTTGAGTGTGACTTAATTCGTTTCGTGCATACCTTACTGTGGAACCTGTGAGTTTGCGGTATGATCGCAACACGCGATCGGATTGGCAGAATACTTGGAAAATCCATCATTCCATGGCCAAGAGAACTAACCGGGCCACAGATTGCCTTTGAAAGGACTTCCAGATAGCCAAACCAAACCTTTTGATCTCCAGACGTGCCTGCGGATCCAGACTGCGTGTGTTCGGTGATCTCGGCCCACGACGGGAGCGCCTAGGCAGAAGCATCTCTTCGTTTGGGATGTTTCAGTGACGGCAGCCGATTTGTGCCCTGTGACCCGACGTTGATGTGGGAAGACATGTGGCCCGGTAGGTGGACATATTGAGTCTGATCGCGTGCACCAGAGAAGTCTGCTATGGTGGGAAGCACCTTCTTGGACAAAAGTTTGACTATTTATTTCTGATTGACTCATTGGGCATGTTGTGGGGAGGATGGGAGCAGCACATTGGTGGTTATGGACTTATGTCAACATGCCTTTAAGCCTGACCCCAGTCAGTTGATGGAGACTGATGTTGTCCAAAGCAAATCGTTACAGGAAGCGCGCCTGAGCTGAAAGCTGTAGCAGCCGACCCGGCTAAGAAGGGAAAATTGATGGAACAAACTGTTGGTGAGTCATCCTATATCTATAGAATCTAGAAGATTCTATAAGTAAGTCTATTTAAAACACAAACATGCAGAACTCTTTGCTCATTTTTACAGTCAATATTTCCCAAAAGAGCATCGCGACTGGAAAGACATACAGTGATTGAGTCTGGTTTTTTCGGGGAATGGGCTCGATGTTTCCACTCGCAATAAAAGTGTAGCCATGGGCCTCTATATATAGTGGGTACTATCATTGGTTTTGGGGTTTAGACTAACTTTGTAGTCTGGACTTGGAACCCCTTCCTTTCAAGGTCCGTCTCAGCTCGTCGCGATGTCCTCAGGTGAAGATCTCGATGTCCTCGGTGCGGCTCTTGACCTGGTTCGGCCAGGGTGTGGTTTCTCGGTTCTTCCCGTCGAAGGACGTTTGGTTCGTGTCAAGTCTGGTGGTGTTCGGCGGTTTTCACGGTGAAGTACTCTAAGTCTAGGTGAAAGGTGCTCGATGAGTCACAACCACGAGAAAAAAATATCATTCCTAGAGGTTCGGTCTTTGACAGATGTAGATTGGTCAGACCCAGTCCTTTCACCCTCTTTTTTGTCAAGAAGTGAAGAAGACGTAACATACCAAACTATAAAGGCCATCCAGAGGGCCAAACACGAATCCACAAGGGATATCACGTTCGGCAGGTGGCTCCATGGGTGCTGTGCTTCTTTTTTCTCCCAGCCACCCTGGCGTCCACCCCGTGTGGCGTCCTCTCACGTGTGGCGTCGCCCAGGCTTTGATCATGTCCTCCCTGTCCATCCTCCTTTGCTGGCTCGACGACTCGCCGCATCGCTTCTTGGGCGAGGCGGGTGTCGAACGTGTCCGAGTGCAAGGGGACGGACGTCGGGGGGAGCGCTAGGTGGGCTGGGTGACGGCGGTGACGGGCTTCCTCCCGTTTCGCACCGTGTTTCGAACACACCGACGGACTGGCTGTTTTGTGAAACAACTCAACAGAACATAACCGAACCATCAGGTTGTTTGCAGTTTCGGGCCGGGTCAACTCCATGAGACTGACTAGTTTTGTGAGTTGGGGAGAGGCTAGGGAATATGGTTTTCAATTTTTTTTGATTTATTTATGAACATTTTACGAAACGCATTTATGAACAAAAAATGTTTGGTTTTTACTTTATGAACAATTTACGAAACTATTTTTAATTTCTTGATGTGCTCAACAAATCTAAAAATGTTCATAAACTAATCATAAAAAAATCATACAAAAATTCATAAAATACTCATATTTTTTCATAAAAAAACACATTTAAAAAAACATAAAAATTTCATAAAATTTATGATTGTTTAACGATTCTCGGCAAATCGTAGAAACATCATAAAAAACATGCATAAAAATTATGATGTTTTTTACAAAAAAACATATGAATATTTTATGAATTGTTTTAATGAACATTTTATGAATTTTGTTGAATTTCTGATTTGGTGGAAATCCATAAAAAATCATTAAAACACATTAAACAAATCATAAAATAATTCATTTAAAAAAAAAAAACATAAAAATATCATAACCAAATCATTTAAAAAAAAAAAAACATTAAAAAAATCATAAACATCAAATCCCCAAAATTCGAGGACCAATTAGTTTTCATTAAAAAAAAAACATAAAAAAAAAACAACATAACAAAAATAAATCAATAAACCCTCCTCTGGCTGTCTTCCTGACTCTCAAGACTAGTTTGTACGTAGTTTGTTTCATCTTCTTGGTGAAGCACAGGCAAGTTTTTCTTCACATATCAGATCATAGCAAATTTGCGTACGTTTTGCATGTGTGTTTATTCTTCCTCTACCGGTCAGTTTGGTTCTCAGTATGATTATATCCAGATGTCTATCCACAAATTCTGGTATCCATTCAAAATAACCGTCATCATTGGCTCTGAAAGGACACCAATCTCCACCTGCACTCCCTCCCTTTTCACCTGCACCATCTCCCCTTCAACACCCAGACCCTCTCCCAGACCACGGTGTCCAACCGTGCCTGGAGTGACGCAGGGCGCCTGGATTTCCTTCGGGGCGTTGCTGATGGTTTTGAGCAGCGCTTTGCTGAGCGGCCGCGAGGCATGTTTGAGCGACCCTGAGGAACGCGAGGCCCGGCGGCTTTCGCACGGCGTTTTGAGAAGCCGCGCGGGCAAGGTGAGGATCAGCTGTCAGCTGGGGGCTGACTCTTTGTGGTCCGTCTTTATTTTGTTTGTTTCTTTGCTTGTGTGTGTTTTCCTGTTTCATTGGGTTGTGTTGCGTATTGTATTGTTTCAATAGGTGAGGCCCGGAGACGCAGATGGTTGTCTCTTCATGTTTATTCGTTTGAATACAACGATTGATGTTTGTTGTGCGTTGTTGATTCCTTTCCCTTACAGTAGCTATTTTTAGACGTTATTATTGTTTGTTTTGTGTGTTTAATTATATAGGGGTTGCATATGCAATGCATATATTGTGTGAATCTCTCTATACAATTGTATATATATAGAGTCTATAGAGAGAGAGAGAGAGCGTTGAGCACCAGCATCCCTCCCAGGAGCATTGGACGACCGAAGACGATGCGGTCGACATGAGACCCAGACGAGTTAGCCGCCGGGTCGCATGCGCAGCACGAGCTGGGCGAGACAAGATTGTCAAGTCTTGTTTGACAGAGTTTGACATGCATGAGATGGATGATATGGGTGTGAACGTTCATAGGGAGACCCCCTTTCTCGCCCTTGGCTGGGTAGACTCTATTTCCCGAACCTTTCAGGGAGTGCCTCGTCTCGGTCTCCTTATTTGAGCTACACACACTCTCATATACGTCTGGATGGCAGTGCTACGTCATGGGACTTCGAGATTCTGGACGGTCTCTAACTAATGTTAGGAGTGCGTTGCTGCATGCCTGTTGGAATGCCCAGTGTCATCAGAAACGGCCAAAAGGATAAATATTCCAGATCCCAGATTTGACATTCCTCGGAGGTCTAGCAACGTCTGAACAGTTCCCATCAGTTTTGCAAAGGGGTGGCTGACCCAGCCACCTGCTTCTCCAAACCAACCATGAGGCCCTAGGTCATTTGAGGGGTACCCTTTAGAAGGCTACAAATAATTGACCAGATCGCTTTCAAGCTGGTATATCATCCGACAAACAGATCCTGGAAGTGGAGTTCCCATCCCCTTTTTGTGATCAAAAAGTGTCGCCGGTTTCATGTGGGCGTGGCCATTTCCATCGGCCTCTTTACAAAGCGGTGACTTCTACCGCTTTGTCTTATTTGACAGATCAATGGTCCCACAGTGTGATTCGTTTGATGATCAAGACCTTGTGTCCCCATACAATGTTCGAAACACAAGTGCACACGAAGGGGTGTTTGCGACCAAGTCACGATGGAGATGTAGATCATGTGGACAGAACCACCTTGTGAAACGAAAGAACTTAGCATTAGCATCGACAAAAAGGAGAGTTACTGGAAGATCTTTGCATCTCGTACTGGTATCACAATCCATCCCAAACACCTCAAACTACTTCCACTAATCGAAGATGGATGTGTCAGGACCTGCCGGGTGTTCTCAGCCCAAAGATCCAACTGCTGCAGGCTGTTTGTGACAAGGTGTTCCAAGGTGTTTGGGCGATTCAACCTTTCTAACCCAGCAGGAGCAGGGTCACCTTGCTTGAGCACGATTTCAAAAGTATATACCTCTTTTTGAGTGACTAGCAGTGGCATCTCCCCAGCAAGAATCTGTGAAGTCTTTGAAGTTATACGTAGTGTAGCCCCAAGTGGGGCAGGTGAGCTTCTTTCTTTCGGCACGTTGGTATATATAACACACATATATAATATAAATAGATTATAATACAATAATTACTACAATAATACATCTATTATAGTAGTAATAGACTATAATGGAATACAATAGATAATAGATAAATCTCTATAAATATATATAAGGACACCGACACCGGACCGAAGCCGGCGGTGCCTTCTCAGGCTTCAACACCGGCCCGGGGCCGGAGCCCCGGGGCTGGAGCCCGGCGCGCGCGGTGTCAGGCAGAAACGGATCAGAGAGGGTGGTGTTTTCCGGAGGGTTGAGCCAAGGGATGGGGAGAGAGATTGGAGAGATGGTGGTTTCATTGAGAGTTCAAGCTCCTATTTGGATATGTTGTTTTTTCCAAGTGCTTTTTTGGGGTTCCCGTACACTGCCCTACACCTGCAACGATTCAAACAATCGTGCCAGTTTGGATGAACCAGCGAAAATGACACGAGGCAAGGAAGTATGTAATTTGCTTTGGGTCCTTTATGTCCCCTCTCGAGAGAGGGGTCTTTCGAGGAAACGACCAAGCGGTTGATCCGTATTGTTGAAGTTCCTTCGAAGGTTTCAAGGCAGGTCAGTCAAATTTGAAGACTTGCAGAGATTTGTTTAATCTCAGAATTTTGCTCAGTCTTTCCTTGCGTGGATTGTGGTGCTGCCAGCGACAGCCAAAGATAATTGCACACACTGTTTCTTTGTTGGTCATACATGTACATTCTATATTATATATATGTGAGTGTGTTTGTTGGAGCACCTGCGACCCTACGGTCTGGCCGCCAACCGCTGTCCTAAGAAACCGCGAGGCATTGAAGACTTCATGACAAATTTCGAGGAAGGGGTGAAAGCTGTGAAGCATGAGGCAAGGACGCTACTAGGGGCTCCTGGCATCGCTACTAGGAGCAAGGACGCTATTAGGGGCTCCTGGCCTTACTACTAGGAGCAAGAAGCTACTAGTAACAAGGGCATTGCTACAAGTAGCATGAGGCAACAGTTTTCGCCACCTCCAGGTTTATCGGTTATTCAGTCGCTCGCACGCTGGGCGCGTGGGCGGGTGGCGAGTGTTGGGAGGGGCGTTCTCGCGGCGAGTTCTGCCTGTGTTGTGATGTTTTCCGGCATCCCTGGGGTGATCCCGAATTGTGTGTGTGTGTGTGGGGAGCACGGGATGGATTATATAATATATTTGTCCAGTATTTGTATCACTGCAAGAAGTCATCACACCATGTTTGATCTTCAAGCAATGGGAGTAAAAAATCACTGTTGCTGCTGGGTCTTTGCCAAAGGTCAGGTTTCCAGCTGCATTCCTTTTTACAAACTCCTCAGAACGCATCTGTGCAAAATCTCACTGCTGTAGATGTCAATTGTGACACGTGCTTTCATGGGTGTCCAACCAGCATAGTCAAGGTACCTTGGTCGCCAAATCCACGCAAAACCCGTGCCAGCACCTGGAAAATTCAACACGTACTGCAGCAAACAGTGCAGGAGTCCTCAAAAAAAACACCAAAGTAGAACATCTCATCCTGCCATGTTGTTTTCAATTTTCGATGCGTGTGGATGCGGTCCGTATGATTCATACGTTGTCTTTTGGGTTCATTCCATTCTGCTTGGTTCATTGAATTTAAATATATCAAAATGCATAATATGTTATCAACCGTGGAAGGGCTCGGGAGAATGTATATAATAGGATCCAGTTGCCAAACAATCTCCGATGAGGTGCATTAATGTTTTTTTGTTTTTTTTTTCCGCTCCTTGTTTCGTTTGTGAGTGCTAGTGATTCGTCAAAGTCCCATCCATTTCATGAACAATTCCCTCATGAAACGAAATATCCATACATATTGCAAACAAGAACAATCTTTCTAGGGGAATTTAGGGAAATTCCATGGGCACTGGAACTACGATGATTGCAAAAGGCGCCACTGGACTACTGACTTTTTGTCTTTTGAATGTCCTCTTGTTGTCCTTGCCAATCTCAATTTAACAAACTGACGTCATGCCGCTCATGCCCCCCCCTTCTCCCCTTCAAGAGCAGCTCAAAAGCAGGAAGTCTGTTTAATGTCCTTGTTTCCATGTCAAAAAACAGTTCGACATTATGTTAGTCTGATAATTTTACTCCTAAAGGACATAAACTGCATTCTTGAAGGGCCTATATATAGACGGGCATAGGCAGCCCTCAAGACTTCAAGTCAAGAATCAAACCTCAGTCCCAATGCGTTGTAAGGTGTTTTAAATGATGTTTGACAACTTGGAAGACTTGTTTCACAAGCTCGGTTCTGGGGCTTGACAACAGCTGGGTTTCGGAGCCTGCGGATGCAGCATGCTCAGGCCGAAAACCTCCAGCGCCCCTTCCTTGCGGCGGGCGAGGAGATGCTGGTTGAAAAAATGAACTCTTGTGGAATTGTCGGATTTCAGACACAGTTATAGATCATTCAAATACCAAGGTTTCCTTTTTTTTCGACCCACCCAAGTGAGTAGGGGTGTTTCGCGGGATGTGTTCGTGTTTGTTTTTCGTTCTAGTAGTACTCATGGTTGAGAGGTGGGTGTGCATCAAACAGAGCCTGCTATATAAGTTGTTTTTGGAATGCGTTCTTTGAACTACAAATTATTACAAAGACTCCATCGACCCTCCATTGACCAGTTGACCAGTATGGAGGATTCGACCGGACCTAACTTTTGTTTTTTAGCCATGCCACAAACACACCCTCCACACACATATATATGGCATCAGTGAACGTCTCCTCAGCTCTTCAACAAAAGGATGTCCTGACAAAAGTTTGTTGATTTTTCGGTGTTTCATGGGTGACTGGTACTTTGACCCCGAATCACGTGCCTACACATTCAGAAGTCGACATGCATTCCCTTGTTCAGGGACCCACGTGACTTTACTTTTTAGATCTTTGTAGCATTGAACTCCAGAAGGAACATCTACTGCTGCAGGCTGCAGGTCAGGATGAACACGTTTCCTGCACCAGACAGCGTCCTCCTTGCAACTAGCTTAGAACTGGGGACTCTCATGTTTTTCCACGTGATGCAAAAGGCAGACCACAGGGGTAGGATCATTGAGTTGGCATGAACCGTTGTGCACCGAGTGTTTACAGCGCGCGTCAAGGACTTGAATGCGCGGATGAAGAACTTCATTCAGGAGATGGAACAGCAGGTCTGGCTGGGAAGTACAGGAAAAGACTGATGTCACACCCAGATATGAATCAAAGGGAGTTATATAGAAAGGTTTCAAGGAACGGAACAATCGTTCATTTAGGCTGAATGCGGGTCCTGGAAGATCCTGGAAGATCAGTTTCCCCGGCAAACCAAAGTGTTTCATGTTCATCTTCATTATTTTGAGGGCAACTGCATCGGGATAGGTGAAGCAAAAAGCAAAGACATTGACCATGAAACCACAGGTAGCGTGACTGAGACGACTATGACATGCACGGTTCGTTTGTGCTGTTTTGGCCGCGACCTGCTTTGGTTGATTGAACATGATTGAACATTGAACATGACAAATCCATCTTACCCATTGCTGTGCAAAAGCAACCCAAATTTCCCCAATTACTTGATGTGTGTGGCAGGGTGTGGGCCTGGAATTCGCTTGTGGCCAACCAACGACACCGTTCACGTCCGTGGTTGATACCCACAGGTTGGTTGCCCATCCGACGTCCGACTCCGACAACCATCCGACTCAGCAAAGCAATGATCCTCGAACCACGCGCAAAGCAATGATCAATTGCCATTTGCTGCAAAGACCACCCTGGCAACCATCGGCACAGAAAGAATTTCAATGAAATCGCCAGAACTGGATGCGGAAAGAACTGGATGCACGACGGATGAAAGCACCTTTGCCTCTGCAGACACCACGGAAGTGCGGAGTTTTTAAATCAGCGACAAATCCGTAGAGCAGTTTTCTGGCACAACTTCCCAAGTGAACCTTGACAATTGATAATGTTAGGGATTGCGAAGAAAGAACGAAGGAACGATATACTGTTTCAAAAGATGCCGAATTCTCGTTGTCACTTTCACCAGCAACGCGTGAGATATATTCGATTCAGTTGCAGTTGCATCGTTCGAAACAGTGATGGTCATTAGATTCCAACATATCTAATTTCCAAAACACTGTTGAGTACACAGTATAGCTTCATGGGATCTCATGGGGTTGTGGTTTGGCAGACCGGCAGACCAATTGGGTTTGGTCAGTGGTGTGGTCTACGTATGTCCTTTCTTCCAGTGGGTTGGGAAACCTGGGAGGCCTCCCTTGGTGCGCTCAGCACAAAACCTCCTAGTAGCGTCATGTAGCGTCCTTGTTTCTAGTAGTACGGCGGCCAGGAGCCCTTAGTAGCGTCTTTGTTCCTAGTAGGGATGCGCTTTGTTCCTAGTAGCGTCCCCTACGCCACGTGTTGTTTTGTGCTGAGCGCACCAATGCTTGGTATGGCTCGGCTGAATGGGCGCACCAGGTACGCCAGCCCATCGTCGAGGCAGCTCATCGCTTCCAGGCAGCTACAACTCGTCTCTCCTGTTTGGGACGGAAAGACACGGTTTGGCAGCGACGGAAAAAGAGGGGAATACCAGGTGAGCTACGCCCATGGCACCCTCCCCTGGCATGACACCTTTGAACTGATCATTTGTTTTCACGGTGTTCGTACATGTTTTGTTGGGGATTCCTTGTTTTCCAAAAGAGTCGGATAGAGTCGCCTTATTTTGGGGCAGGGACTGCGAGGACTTGTTGCCAGCAGTACGTCTCTTCTACCTTCCAAGAACCGCAGAAAACCCGAGAAAAAAAAAGAAACATATATATAAAAATATAGGAATGACCTGGTTGGGACAGAGACCTGAGCACAAGGCCACAACATTTTTTGCATCATATGGCCGTCAATCAGAAGGCCCGGTTCAGGACATCCCTGGCACAATCCTGGGTCAGTCAGACATCCCTGGCACGCCCACAAGGAACCACAGCAATCCTGTTTTCCATCCTGGGTATGCGGGGTCCACACACCTTCTCCTTGAAACTTCCACAGATTGCGGCAAAAAGGCAGAAACGCAGCGCGGTGAGACCAGAGGTATTCGATGACTTCTTTGATCGGGTCCAACAGCCTTTTTTTGGTCCTGGTCAAAACAAGACTGGTCAAGATAGTACTTGTAAATGGGATTGTCAAGAAAGAACAGGTTGACCCATTGTGACACACAGAAACCTCAAGAAACCAGCCTGATGGAACTCAGAAAACATCAGGAAGCCGGCAGGAGCACAGAGCACCAGTGAATTCCAGAACCCTCAAAGACCTTTCAAGCCAGTTTGGTGCTCAGCTTCGCGAGGCGCAACTTGGGACCCGACAGTCCTTTGAGGAGATGGCTTTTTTCACCCGTCGAGGTGAACCGCATTGTGCGGAAAAAGGTGAGGAGAGCTACAGGCAGCCTTGCAAAGCTAACACATCGGGATTCCTATTAATGATTTGACATGTGTCCTGCGTGTGTACAAGCTGTTCGTACTTGGCACTTAGGATTGGATTGTTCTTGGTTTGGGTGTCCTGCAGCAGCATGTTGTTTTATTGTTTGTTCTAGAAGTTCTGTGTATGAGTGTATGATCAAGTTGATTGGTCCACGTTGGGAGCAAGCATTGGTCCACCGATCAGCGTTCGCGTTCAGATATGAAGATGGGACAAACACTGAGGGGACATCAGGGAACTTTGCAGAATTTTGCAGACTAGGTTGGACATCACTTATTGTGGTAGGGAGCCGGACGTAACCATGAACTAAGCACAACGCAGCAAGCTCCTTTTCTAACGCTGACAAGATTGGGAGTAGAGCCGCAATGGGCTCGCATGGATGAAAAGTGAAAAGCAACACATGAAATGCACAAAGGGATCGGCATGAACCTTCAAGCGACCTTTGACTCACCTGCCGTCCCCCTGTCATCTTTCAGCCTCTTCTTGTAGGCCTTTTGGGTGTTGCGCTGCTGTGCTCTTACCTCTTGCCATGTCTCATCCTCAACTATGGTCCATTGACCTGACTGCATGATTGTCTGGAGAACATTGTTTCCTCGCAACTTCGTCAAACAGTCAGAAGCTTGTTGTGGACCCGGGATCCAACGGCAGAATGAGGAGGCATTAGGATCTGCCAAACTCTCACGAAGTGCCCTGATGTCCAAGGCTGTTCGTCGATCCTGAGGGAGCTCTTCACTAGATAGGCAGTCATAAGCTACCTTAGCGTCAAGGATCAGCAGGATCTGACATTGCTTCACATGATCAAACCATCGACGCATCACGAACGAGGCATCTCGGACCTCGCACAAGATTGCTCTCAAGAACTCGGCATGCTCATAGCCTAACGAAGCTGCTGCCGCTTCGACTCGAAGAACTCCTGACCACCCTCTTGCACGACGTGCTGCACCATTCAATTGGAACAACAGCATTGACCTCGGTTTGTACTTTGGGATTGGCCAACATCAGAAATATTCCAAGCTGGGATTTCCCACGAGGCATAGCTGCCAAAGCTCCATCGGTAGCCACCAGAACCATGATGTCCTGCAGGGAGCAACCAAGTCCCTTGACATAGAAACAAGTCTCTTGCTTGGCCTTCTGCACTGTTGTGTTTGCCAATCGGAGAGTGCTTCCAGTTGCATCAATCAGGTTCTGCTGGAGGTGGGATACAGCAAAGGCCAAATCCGGTCGCCCTTGCTTGGCTAGCCAACCCAGCTGACCCACCAAGGCACGCAGCTGTGCAGATTGCTCTGGTGACACTGCTTCATCATCGGCCAATGCGGCCTTGACCTCAATCTCTGACAAGGACTGGCAATACAAGTTCATGTCAACGGTGACGGTGTGCCGGTCATCGCTTTGACGCATCACGCGTCCCAAGAACTTCCCCCCATCCTTCAAATCTGTCCAGCTGCCAAACTTGAGCTGGGTCTGGAGAGTTTGCCAGTCTTCTGCCACTTCAGCATTGCCTGCCAACAATGCATCATCAACATGCAGTGTCACCAAACCTACCAACTCGCCACGAGAATTGTGCTTCATGAACAAGCAAGGAATCAACTTGGATTCTGAAAAACCAATACCGGCCAAGGTGTCACGAAATTTCAAATACCAGAGGAGAGGACTTTCACTGAGCCCAAAGATTCCTTTTGTTGCTTCAAACATGTCACTTCTGCTATCAGGCCCTAGGCGCCATTTGAGATATTCTGCGATCTCTGGCGGGCACCCTGATGGAATCTGCACGAACAAGGGCTCTGTCCGAGGTAGCTCTAATCCCTGGAGGAATGCAGCTGTCACGTCAGCTATGTTGATTGCCCATCCCAAAGTAGTCGCAATGCATAGCAACAAGGCATGTGCCAATGACAATGCGGTGGGACTTGCAGCATCATACTTACCCAGATCGGGATCTCGATGTCCACCCACGCACAACCGACCCTTGGGTTCAAAGCCTTGTGTCAACTGCTTCTTATTGACAATGACCATCCGAGAGCGAATCACACGCTCCTTGGGCACTATGCGGCCAATGGGGACTGCCTTGATGGCTTCATGATCGAAATGTATCGACAGGGCTTTCACCAAAGCTGGAATAGTCAACCTCAGTTCAGCTGCAGTCATGTCTTTGACATATATTTCATTTCGAGCTCTCGGAGGAGGTCCATTGCCATGACCTCGTTCTAGGCGACATGTCTCAAGTTCTTTGTTCTTGATCTCCTCATCGAAACCTTGTTCCAACAGGGCAAAGCGGGTTGCTCGCAGGTCTGCTTCATGCTTGATACGATCTTCTTGATCAACTGATGAAGTCGCCAACACAGTGACCTCCAATGCCCAACAAGCACGCGCCCAATCTGGCGCCCAAGGCACAACTCCGGCTTCACACACTTCGAAAGCTGGCATGCTGTCTACTGGTGTCACATGGGTTGAGGGTCCTGCGAAATCACGCTTGCTCAATTTGCCTACTTGTTGGCTGTCCTTCGGTTCTTGGAGGTCCCGCTTCCGATCTCTTTTGAGAAGGTCACGACTATGCGTGATGGCTTCAGAAGCGGCACGAAGATCACCATCCAGCCTGGCGCGTTTCAATGATGAGTCGAACACTTCTCCCCAATCTCCTAATCGCTCCTGAATCGAATCCCACACATGTGATTGAGCACCACCCTCAAAGAATTCTACTTTATGTTTTACCCTTGCTTCTTCAAGACTGGTGGGAACATCTTTCACATCAGCAGGTCTTGGACCATCGGATGAGGATGGCACCGAACGATCAGTTGCACCTATCTGTGGTGTATTGGGGTTGGGACTATTATTTACGAATTGCTTGGGACGATAGCCATCCAATCGGTTGGCTGCCAGCCTTGATGCTTCGAGCTGTCGCAACACTTCAGGGGTCATCTCCGCCTCCGGCAGTACATTGGATGGGACCGGACCGGTGGGTTTGTCAGACGACACTGCATGAGTCTCATCTTGTGCATGCGAAGACGACTCACCCGGTTCGCGTGGCCCTTCCAAGACTGGCTGTGAGTTTGATTCTTCTGTGGACGGCCGAGTACCCCCTACAGGTGCTATTACGATGGCATCTTCAGCTGTCACAGTGGGTTGCTCAGTCAGATCTTCATATCCGGATGGTCGAACGGCTCCGGTCAACTCTTGTTGCATGTCAGATAAAACATCACAGATGTATCTGGTGTCGACAGTTTCTTCGGGGGTGGCAAGACGAACGTTTTCTAATGCCACTCGAACGACCGAACCCTTGTACCTGACCCATACCTTATCGACTCCCTCGGTTGCCGCCACAATGGCTGGGCCTTGTTGGCCAGTGGCATTGTCTTGCAGGCGGCGGTGCTGTCCAGGTGGCTTGTGAAAGTAAACAGTCGTACCTGGCGTCAGTGAGACCAATTTGGGTGGTCTGGACCTCGAGTTCAACGCTATTCGAAGGCGTTCGTGTGAGTCCAACCATTGGAATGCCGACATGGATGCACAACGAATCTGTTCCATGCGGTTGACTTCTTCGTCATGGGTCACCTCATGGTTGCTGCTCATCTTGATCTCTCCATCAGCAATCTGTTGAACCAAAGCCGAAGGCACCACGACGTCTCTGCCTTGCACCACCTGCAACGGAGACCGACCGCACTTACGAAGGAGCCTATTCTTAGCTTGACAGCACATGGCCACTGTCAACTTGAGTTCAGACTCTTTGGACACACTCAACTCGTGCACACTCCTAAGAACCATGAGTTTCAAGATGGCGCCATGACGCTCACTCAGTCCGGCTTTAAACTTAGCTGCTGTTGGAAGGATGGTGAGGCGGATGTCGAACACACGGCACATCGTCTCGAAAGCGCCTCGAAACTCGCTACCACCATCCACACACAGCTCAGCAGGCGGCCCATGGTGCATGATCCAACGGTCAAAAAGCAATTCTGCACTGACAGTGCTACTTGGGTTCTTGGAACAAATGCCATACTGCAAGGAACAGAATCCGTCCAACATGTGAGTCACGTTCCATCGCTGTCCAAGGCTATCCAAAATGAAGAAACTGTCAAGGACACATTGTTCATTGAACCGACTGGGTGCTTTCGACGATGCCTGTGGTGCTGAACGCGGACCGGAGATCCTCTCACAAATGCTACAACGTAAGGATTTAGCACCTTCGATCACGGCTTTGTGTGCCCCGTTGATCTGGAGCATGCGAGCCAATCGCTCGTTGCTAGGGTGTCCGAAGTGACCATGAAGCTTGGCTAGTTGATTCCTCACCTCACGTGGAAGACGAATGGATGCTCCAACAAAACGGACATACCCATACCTGGAACCGATTCCCCCAAAATCTCCCTTTCTCTGGTCTTCTTCTTCTTGCAATCGTTTGAACTCTCTACGAATGGCATGTTCTGCTAAATCTTCAGGGTCACCCGCTACCTGTTCCACTGGAGTGTCCGCTTCTACCGCACATGTCAAATGACTATCACAGGGGTCGTCGAACGGCTCATGGCCATCCCACAGCAGGCGGCATGTATGTTGACTTGCACATGTGCTACACAGGACCGAAGTGCAGTATATGCAACATGCATGCGGATCGGCGGCACATCGGATGCATGAAGACTCTTCGGGAGGAAGATCAGGGTCATCCATGGTGGTCAACACGACTGCACGTTCCAGTTTTGGATGACTTTCTGACAACAGGGTCTGTTCAGCGGCATGCAAAATATGATGACACAGTTCCTTCGTCCACATACCGGCTATCAACGAACGGTTGACCCAGTGACCATTTACACAAGTAGCTCCTTCAATCACCTGATGGTCAGTCCGAGCATGAGTACAGTGAGCCCCTTCTTCAAGAAATGCAGCGAACCTAGCCGAATTACAATCGAGGACCGTGCGCTTCCGCATTGGTTTCTTGTTTTCCGGATCTTGCAACTTGAATGCACACTGGTCGATAATAGCTCTGTGGAGATGCGGCCTTCGTGTCATGACTTGCAATTCAAGGGCTTTGCTCAGCCAAGGCTGTTCGGTCAAACACAGACCACCTTTAGCGGTTTGAAGATCCCAGACCTTACGAGTAAATTCCCATAAATGATATGACATTAGCCGCTTCCACACTACCACTGCCTGATCATTGATGGCTTGCAAGCTACTCCATGGTCCACACGGAGGGCAAATCAAAACAAGATCGGGGCTCATGGCATCAAGCTGCTGCAAAACACGGTCCTGCTCATGTTTCGAGTTGATGTCACAACCACACAGGAGATCAACTGGTTCTAAGGCTATCCAATCAGTGGATGAGGCAAACAGTGACACCGAAGTCCCGAAAATCTCTAATAGGCAAAACTTCCGCTCAGACGGCGCTCCAGCTGCTTCTTTCAGAAGTGATTGGCCTTTCTGGGCATGCTGCACCCCTTTCTTCAGCAGCTGTGTTTGGCCGCGCTGCAACGAACGGACATGTCCTTGGTCTCCTAGCGGAACATGATGGCTCCCTTTGGTTGGCGGAGGGTCTTGACACATGACCCGAAGTGCCCCCACACTGCTGCCAACTCGGTGGCGTACAGCCGTGCTAGCCAAGCCGGCTGACGTTTCCAAGTGCCCCGGGACTTCTCCGTGGCTTGCTTCATGCGCAGCTGCAGCAGGAACACCTTCCACTTGTGCACAAGAATTCGCTGATGGATGATCCAAGAGCAGTTCATCGGAGGATCCCAGGACTTGGTCAGCCCCAGGAGAGGAAAATCGGCAAGCTCTCCCGTCGTGGCCGCCTTCATAGCGGCTTTGGTTTTGGGCTTGGTTCCCTTGGCAGGAATCACCAACTCCTCTTCCGGAATCTCCTTGGGCGGCTGGCGAGTGCCGGACTTCGGCTTGGCCTTGGGCGTCATGACACGGCTGTGAGGCGTCTTGTGCCGATGAACGGTCGAAGTCATGGAGGCATCGGCCTCGTTCTCCGGCCACCGTGCATCCTCCTCCGGATTCGTCCAGCCCGGAGACTGACTCTCGGCTTCCTCCTCCAAAGGGACAGAGCTGACTTCGGACCCTGGGTACTCCGGACCCGAGTGAATGGCATGTTCCTGATAGCCCGCCGCTGCCGCTGCTGACACGGAGCTGGTTGCTCCCCGGTTTCGACGAGAGGCCATGATTTGGCTCTGCGAGATCACTCAAAGCGGCACGGGCTTGGCGTCTTAGTCTAGACTTGGACCCCTTGCCAACGGCGGTTCCTTGACGAATCTCAAACATGCATACCTCATCACACTCAACTTTAGGGCGTTTCGATTGCTCATGCACAAGGACATGCCACGACGGGTTCCTTGGGTAGAAGTCATTAATCCTAATGAGATAATGCCCTTCTGTAGAAACACACAAAGCACAACGACGCTCTCCAAGCCGGCGAATCTCACAGGAGTTGGACTCACAGTCGATGCACATGCCTAATGAAGTGCACACAGCCTTACTCAACAAGGGAGGACATGGGTAATCAATGACGTTGACAGCTAAGAGGCCGGTGTGTCCTTTAATGGCTATTTCAAGAAAGACTCGATATTGGGAAAGGCGTCGAACCCCATCTCCAAAACGAAACCAGTCGGCAGCTCTTTCTACATGGACGTGTTTGTTCAGGCGTTGTCGAATGGCGATCTCTCTTTCCACCCAAGCCACACCAGCGACCGAACGGACACAGCCAATATCCACTATCATGACTCCTTCATAATCGGTGTTCTTTGGGGGATGTGCCAAGAGGGTATCGGCTTGCATATGCATGTCGAACACGGCTTCGGGCAGTGTCCCTTCCCCACCATCAGCACTCACCATGTATGCACTCGCGACATGCGATGCAGGGTTCTGTCGACTAAGATAGCTCTCCAAAACGGCCGTTAAGGCTGCATGAGAGGGAGTGGCCGAGGACCCAGATGCTGATGGAGCCAGATTCTTGGCTGGTGTGGACACAGCTGTCAAGGCCTCCGACACAGGCACCGCAGGCGGTGTCCCCCGATCGGTCACTGTCACATTAGCCGACGTTGCGGCTTTGGCTTGATTCTTTGGACAAATGGCATCACGGCTCCAATGGCCGAAGCCGCCACAATTGCGGCATGGGTTCTTGGCCATCAGTTCTTCCAAACGCTTCTTGGCGGCGGTGTCTCCGCCTGCTGACTGCTCAGTCCGACGATAGTATCCACGAGCTTGTCGAATGGCCTTCAAGCGGGCTTGACCTTGTTGAACTGCCACGAATGCTTCATGCTCAGCAACGGACATTTCATCATCCCCGTTCGCTGGCTCCTCAAGATCACCAGCTCCTTCTTCTGGGACGATGTCATCGCCGCCCGTTTCCTCCTCCATGACATGTGCTCCATACGCACGGCCGAAACGACCTCGACCATGGGAAGAAGCACCTTGGGACTGAGCGGCGCTGCCATGTGGAGCGTCGGGTTGAAGCTCTGGTAGAAGAGGTCGATCTGAAAGGCCACGGCCAATGGGCACCGTACCTTGGAGGAATGGCCCCATGCGGCGCAAGGCTGGATACACAGCTGCGGTCGACAGCTTGTTGCCTGCCGCTGCCATGACCAAGACGCGGTCACGCTGAGTCAACTCCGAGTTGTCCAGCACATAGCCTACAAGGAATCGTTCTCCCATAGCGAACTCGGCATCTTCTTCTAGCATCAAATCTCGCTGGGCCTCAACTCGCATCAAGAACGAGTCCAAGCTTTCATGAGGTGCACGCTTGCATTGCAGAAACTCCCGCTGGGCTCTCTCACCACGTTGGCCAGAAAGTTCCTGCACAAGGGAAGAGGACTCCAACGTGCTGAAGATCAAAGCCAGGCCTTCTGGTCGAGAGACCTCATCAACGGTGAGTTTCCGAGTCAGGATAGAGGCCCTGCCCTTCAACACGGACAGAACCCGAGGCCCGATCACTTCACATGGCAGCATGCCACCTTCGCCAGCGATCCACATCTGCACTGCGCGCTTCCACTCTTTGTACGACTCGGTGGATTGAGCCGCAAAAGATGCAGGATACGAAGAAGGAATGCGTGTCTTGCCCTTGGTCTGTTCTGTGGACTGACTGCTCTCCTCTTTGTCACGGCTGACCTGCTCTTCATCACTGGCGCCATTCATCTTGTAATGTTCCCAGGCCCCAGTGGGGCATGTCGCAGCTTCCAACGACTCGTCCACCTTGCCATCGGAGTTCCACCAATCAGACACCTGGTCCACTGGCGGGTCAGCGTGATGGAAGGATGCAGGAGGCAGTCCACTGTCCGGACGTGGCTCGGTCAAGCGATCGACTGGCTGAAGCACCGTCGTCTCCGGCCAAGAGGCCTGCGACCAATCTCTCCAGTCCCACGTCCATGAAGAGGGCCATGGTGCTGAAGGCCAACGGCGGGAAGACCAATCCATGGAGGCCCAAGCACCGTGCCCTCGAGTATACCATGATGTAGTCGATGGACCATGTGAGTCCCACCACGAATCAGCAGTCCAATACCAACCATTATTCTGATCATGGTCTCCTCCTTCCCGAACAACGTCACCTCGGACTTGACCCGCATGTTGCTGGTCCCGTTCAGGTTCACCAGGAGAAGACTGCACAGCATCATATGGTGTCCCCTCCACCATATCCACCATCTCATACGAGGAAGAAGTTCCGCTCGCAGTGGACCGGCCTGGTCCATGGCTTGCGGCCCCAATCTTGTCAAAACCCCCGGCAGCGGCTGCAGCCCCAGTCTCAAGCCCACGGTCCACTGCTGGCCGCGGCAGCTGCCATCCGGACTCCTCGGAGTCCACATCAACAAAGCCCACCTTCTTCCGCCTTCGCGGGAGCGGAGGACTAAGAGGGCGCCGGTCCGGCATCACTCAACCCCACCACACACAACGTTGCCCTGGATCAAAGCTCTAACTAACGGTAGCCCTTCCGGGCTCCGCTACCACTTATTGTGGTAGGGAGCCGGACGTAACCATGAACTAAGCACAACGCAGCAAGCTCCTTTTCTAACGCTGACAAGATTGGGAGTAGAGCCGCAATGGGCTCGCATGGATGAAAAGTGAAAAGCAACACATGAAATGCACAAAGGGATCGGCATGAACCTTCAAGCGACCTTTGACTACATCCTACAAAATTCACAGTTTTCACTTCTCAAAGCTTGGTTAAGCGCCGACCTTCATGTCGTGTCTTCATATTTGTGTGTATTTTAGGAGGGAGACCCCCGCCCCTGGCTGGGTATCCGGGGGTCGTTGCCTCTCCGCCTCCGTATGTTCATCCCAAGAGATTCTAAGGGATTCCTCTCGTCAGTGTTGGGAGACACTGTGATGTAGGTGCCATATGGTACCGAACCTAAGGACCTAAGGTACTGTGTCACTTGGATCCCTTCTCGACTCCAGGAGACTTCCAGAGCCACGGGTCCGCCCGAGGAGCGAGCTCGGTAGGTCATCCGGCTCGCCGGTAGGACGAGCAGAGAGTCCGCACCGCGTAGAGACATGTTCAGGATGCATCGCAACCTGAGAGTCTTGCCTAGTCTGGGAAAGAGCATGAAAGAACCACATGCTGACTGCATGCTGAAGATCCGTTTAGGCCATGTGCTTCATGTTCTGATCTCAGTGCGAAAACTCCAACGGCCCTACGTTGGGTGATGGCAGATGTCCAAATCCATTTATTTCCAACTGCTTTTGCACCTCCAGGAGCCTAGAAGTCCAGGATGCATGGGAAGCTGCTTGGTATGGCAGCAAACACTCGGGGTCAGCAATCATACACTCTGGAAGATTAACATGGAACCTGAAAACCTCTGGTTTGTAGAGGAAGCTGGTCTTCCAAAGGTCAATTTTCGGGTTGCATGTCAATTTTCCCGGGTGTATATATATATATAGATATATTATATCATATTATCTACAATATTAATCAATATCGTATATATATGCTGTAAATATATACATATGTTTGGTCGACCGGATGCCAGGGACAGCAGTCATGTTTCAGCTTCCTCGGACGCATCGTTACACGCCACCTTTGCAGGGCCCCGAGCGGGACCGTCGGCAGACGAACAGAACATATGGACGCATTTTCAGTCAACCAGACTGCCGTGCTGACGGACTGACAGACGCGGGCGAAGGGCGATTCGACTGACGGACGCACCCGCGTCCTCGGCGACCTCGCGTGGAATAGTGATTCCGACACCGGTTTTAGTTTATATCCGTGTTCTTTTTTCAGGAATTTGGACACTCGAGGCAGCAACTGCCAAAAAGGAGCTGTTCCGTGGTTGGTGCATGTTGGTGCAGGTGAAGTCCGCCACTGTAATTAGGGGCCTGCAGCATCTCTCTTGCCGAGGTTGCCAAGTGCCTGCCATGTCCCGCGAGACTTCCGGCTTGCTGTCCACCTTGCCAAGGACGGACAATTCTGACAAGGGGACTTGCTGAAACGAGCTCAGTGAATCTCGCGAGGCGGAATGGCATGCCTTACTAAATGGAATGGATTCTGTATGTGCCTTGTAATTGGGCAAGCAGGTTTTAAAGGTTTGGCAGATTGGGATGTCTACGGAAGGGAACTGGCACCTCCGCTATTAGGTGACTTCGAGTCTCTAACCTGCGTGTTTAGCATGATGTTCGCAGGACGATGCATGTTTAGAGCTACCTTTGAAAGACCTGACATTTGCACCAACAATCGCAATATATAATGGTTGCCAGAGGATTCGCTATTTCCTATCTAATTGATGAAATTGATTGAAGAAATTGATTCAGTTGAGAAGAGGCATGAAGAGGCCGATCCACAGATGTTTTCTTTGGTGCGGACAGCTGAACAAGAGATGGTTTGGAGAACCAGTGGCACCTGTTCGCACAATTCCAAAAGAACAATGATATATTATATCTACAATATATTACATATAAACCCTATTCCCTATTTGTTTTTGCATAGGCAAGGCAACTCGCAAACAAAAGACTCTTCTTGCACTGGTTTACCTGCTCGGAACTACTTGGGCAAACAGAGGTTTCTTGTGAAACTGCACATCAGCAACCAACATTTGCGGTTGGGCACGTCTCATTTTTGGTTTGTTGACTATTGATGTTGACAACACTTAGAACAAACTATATAGATCTATGATGTCCTACACCACCAGACAGATGTTGTGACAAGAGTTTGCGTAGTTGAAAAGCCTTCTCTGAACAAACCAGTAGAATCCATACACTCAAAAATAATAGGTTATTGAAAAAAAACCGTGTTTTGAAGTGCAAAACCGTGTTTTGTGATTTGGTGAGTTTGCCAGGTTTTCCCAATTCAAGACCATGGATGGTGGGTTAACGCTGGGATGCCATTTGGGCTCAAAAAGGTTTTGCAAAGGACCTTGAACGTGCCAGGCGCTCAGAAAGACAGAGTGGAACACTTTTTTCACCACTCCTGATCATAGGCTTAAGAGTCACATAGGAAGCCTGCTCGAACAAACTCTGCGTGGGCTAGGGTGAGGTAGCGCAAGGTCACTCTTTCAATGACTGTCGATGCGTGCACACGTCTAGATGTTCTGGATTGGCGGCCTATGAAGTCCTCGTCCATCTGTGTGGAGAACACCAATGGTGAAAGGACATGGCTTTGCTTGCGGGCTTTCAGAACCAGGTCGACGAGGCATAAATGTTGAAAAGCGTGGTGTTTCGGCATAAAAGGAAATAAGAAACGGTTGCCCCGATAGGCCAACACAGCAGCAGACACGTAGTGATGGAGGAATTCAACTCCTTTTTGGCCCACTCGAGTTGCCACAGCTGAAGAAAGCCAGACATCATCCTCTTGAAACAAGCCTGTCAGGAATTCATTTATGCAAGCAGCTGCTCTCCTTGTAGCAATGAAAAGGCCGTCGCTAGTCTCCACTTCAAGGGACCACGCTGCAAACCATCGGGCTAGCACGGTAGTGGTGGAGCCTTTTGACCAACCACCAGTAGGAAACTCATTGGCATCCCAGTTCACTGTGTCTTTGCTGATATGGGTGATGTACAGGTGCTCATGGTTGAGCCGACACCAGCTCAACACTGCCTGCGACAGATTCCCAAACCTTTCCTCCAGCGTAGTGCCTGGAAAATACCAAGAAGCCAAAGTAATTGCACTGCTCATAAATGTCTTTCCGATTCCCAGATGCCACGTGTGGAAAATGTCATACCGGAACAAGTCTTCCAGCTGCCCTTCAGTATGGGCAACCCTTGCAAAGTGCGGCAGCTTCTTGAAGGGGCTTTCATCTCCCATGGTGTCAATCCACGACGGGGTGTCCCGAGCCAGGTCTTCAAACGGCCATGGTGATGGACGCCCCCCATTGCATTTCCCAGCCAGACATATGTGACAGATTCCGCGGCACTGGGCCAAGTCACCATTCTTGGTTCGAAGTTTCTTGGGCAATGCTGCGAAGCTCCGATCCAAGCTGCCGACTTTGGCCAGGAAGGGCCAATCGCCCGACACACCACAAAGAGCCATCCTATATGTCTTCCCATTCGGAGCTTGCATTCCATGACGCAAAACATACTCGGCCTCAGAAGCTGCAAAAGCAAAAAGGTCTTGGAGCCATGCTTCGTTCTGCTGGTACTGAGCCTTCGGTAGAACTCCGCACAAAAGCCTTGTGGTAAACACGTGGCCTTTGACGTTGACCTTCATTCTGCAAAACGGTTGCTTTCCTTTTGACCCAGTGGACATCCGGTGTTTGGCCGCAACATCGCTGCCTTTGCCCAGGAATGATCTGAAACTGCAAACAAAGAATGGCGTTTTCTTTTTTCCGCGACCTTCGTCGCCATGAAAGCAGACCGCGCATGTTCTCCGCAATGAAATCTCTCCACGGGCTGCCAACTGGAAAATCTCGTGCTGGGGGGCTTCTTGCCTGTAAAGCTCCCAGAACTGCTCCCAAATACATTCCTCCCGATGCTCGTTTGGTTGGGAAAGGCCAGCCAATTGATGCCACAGATTCCGTTCCAGGAAAAAAGCAAGCCAGTCTCTCAAGCGAAGTGCCTTGAACGTCTTTTGTCCGTTTTCCTTTGGCCTCACATTAGCCAATTGGATTGGAAGACGGAGCTTCAGCTTCTTGAACTGTCGGTGGGCATCTCGCTCATGGTTCCCCCAATTGGAAGAGGAGAACTTCACCAGTCCACCTGACAATCGCTCAGCAACTTCAGTGCCAATGTCCTTGATGATGTTCTTGGCCGATGAAACAGCATGCTTGCATGGGACCTCGGAAATCCAAGCGAGAGATATTCAGGAAGTCCTCCCTGCCCTTGAAACAAAGGAACATGTGAGAACAGGCACCTCAGGCTTAGACTCCTTGCCCAATATCTCGAGCAAACCCTTTGACTGCGTGACCAGGCTTGGCACCTGGCTTGGGAACTATAGGCAAAAGGCATGCTGTGTGGCACCTGGCCACATGAAGCGCAAAGAACCTGCAAGTAGCTTGCTGCTGAAGGGTGCCTTTGTTCCGACAGCTGAACGGTTGCTAGCGCGTAGATATTTAACAACAAACCGTGGCAACAACCACGCCCAATTACAAGCCACATGATGGCACCCCCAACCAGTCCGCTCAGAGGCTTGATATTTAAAGCGTGCAAGTATAAGTCATTGTCATCATGCCACCACTGGCTTGAACCCCGTGAAAAGCTACTGAAACACCCGGGCTGTAGGTTCTCCCACAACTCTAAGGGTTGTTTCACCAAACAGGCTACACTTTACATGAATTGCAACTTACTTCTTGGTCTTTCTCCTTTTGGCAGGTTGTTCCTTTTCAACCTTTTCACCCTTTGGAGATCCCCTTGCTTTGGGAATAGCTTTTGAAGCTTTGCTTCGCGAGTCTTTGCCATCAGAAGTAGAAGCTTTGCTTCGCGAGTTTTTGCCATCAGAAGTAGGCCCATCAACCTTCTTCAGGAACTTCTTGTTTTGCCTCCAAAAAGATGTGAGCACAGCTAACAATATCATGGGTTGTTCGAGAATTCAATAGACTACGCACGCTGCATTTTGCTAAAGAAGGTAGGAGCTTGTTTCAGAAGCTGATCTGCCATGAGGCCGGATCTTGGCTTCCAGAGACATCGCCTTGCTGCACCTCAGAGGTGCGCCCGTGAGCGTGTTTGAGAGAACCCTGCGGTCAGTACACAAGATTGAGCACGCGCCCACGCAGTCAAGAAACACTGTGGTGGCTGATCGCATTTTTGGCTCCGCCTTCTCCCAAAACCTTAGGACGCATGGGGCCTTGAGGAGATCAGAAGAAGCACCAGACCAACAGCTCGCCACCCAAAGTTGCCTTTTAGGGTCTGAAGAAGCACAACGCATCGAAATCACATCGAAGGGCCCCTAGTTGGAAACCAAAGGACGTTTGGCCATATCCTTCAAGACTCCCATTGGAGTAGAGCTCATTGCACAAGTCGTATTCGTTGTCCAGCAAGTCGATTTGTGAGTCAATATCGGTCAATGACCTGGGCAGGACGGCATGGCCTGAAGGCAAGTTGGGTGTATTGCAATGAGACGTTAAGGCAATGACTTAGCAACACTTTTGTCGCTTGCATCATAGTCCTCTGCTAGAACCCTCTTGAGTCCCCGGAGTTTGCCGCTCTTTTGTAAGATGCTATCCATGAAGGTCTTGAATTGGTCCTTGTAGGCCTGCAATTTGGGTTTGGCTTTTATGGCATGCATGGGTAACACGTCAACCATTGCTTCCTTTTGACTCTTGACTCTTGACACAGAAACAGAAGCAATGGGCACCATTTGAAGCTCACAAGCCAAGCTCACAAGCCACAAACATGTAATGGAGTCGTGGGACCTCCCACCTACAAAATTTGGACGTTCATAGTCCCACCTTTCCCTCACCACCACCACCACCCCCAGCGTTGGCTGGCTGTGGCTCTGCCGCAAGTCGCCGCTCCATGACATCCAGGCCATCAAATGCACCCTCGGGGATTGCGACCCCCAGGTCGCCCTGCCATCAAGGCCAGAGGCCAGACGGTTGCGTGGTGGGGGTTGGAGATTGCACCGGCAATATCACATGAGCTTTACAAAGGGGCCTCAGGAACCTCGCGTTTGGAGCGAATCTCTTCATGTGACACTTTAACCTTCCGTTGACCACTTTCGCGGAATTGAACCCAATATTCCTTGATCCCGTCATAGCGGTTGAACCTGGCAAAGAAAGAGCTTGCGAGTTCATACAGCCATCAGTCATAAAGGGTGATGGTGAAAGTGTTCGCGCAAAACAGCTACAAGGCCTGACATGAGTATCAGGAGTCTTCATGCAAAGAGCCACTGCTCCTGCAATTCTGCTCCTTAGAGGTCTTTTCGCTACCAGTGAGTTGCAGAAAAAGGAACATATCATACATGAAACGCTGAGGCAAGTTCTTCGACCAATGTAGTTCTGACTCCATTTCGGCCTCTGAATACCAGGCCTCGTCCACAATCAATTCCACCGTTTTCTCCCGCCTGATGATGGTTTCGATTCGCTGTATGAAGGAAGCCTGAACAGGAGAGCATGTTGTAGGTACATGGCTTACTAGGTTGTACACGGCTTGAACTGCACTGGACCTTGTCAAAGTTCACCTTCTTCAAAACAGCAGCCATCATGTCTTTGGCTTCTGGACTCTCATCCCACTTATCACGAACAGCAGGAGGAACGTTTAGTTCCTTGCGTGTTTTGTGGGGCTGAACCATACGCCGGATCCGCATCTTGGCAGCCAAGTGCAATTTCTCCTGACCAAAAAGCAAAGCAGAAATATAGTACTATAGTATATATGCTGCACGGTACACATAACCTGCAAGCCGGAGGTGCCTGGCGGGTCTTGCCCTTTGCAGGCTCCTTTGCGTGTTCGGTTCCTGCCGCTTGTGGGACAGGTTTCTGCTCATCAGGGGTGAGCGAGGCCTTGTGTGCTTCACCAGGCTTACCTCCACCAAAAAGAGGATCAAATTGGCTGTCAGGAATTTCAGGTACTGTGTTATTGCCTCGGCAAGGTGTTGCAACTGGCTCCACTGTCTCCTGGCAGAACGGTACAGGCCAATATACACCTATATAGTACAGGCATGCCCTTCAAACATGCGCAAGTGTGTTCACACTATACTCCTTGTGGTGTGGAGACTTTTCTTCAGAGGGTTCATCAAGCACGACGTCATCATCATCGAGATCGATGATAGTACCACTTGCTAAGGGTTGGCTAAGCAAAGTTCCAGGAACCCATCGGTTGCGTTCAAGCTCTTCTGTGGTTGCCTCAAGAAAAGGTGTCAAAAAGAACTGTTTGGTTCAAGTGCAACAGGCCGTTGTTTGTCCAAGGCTCTGGAATTGTCTCAAGGCTAGATATCCGATGCTCAGGGTGAGGAACAACATCGGCAGGTCCAGACTCAGCATCCATTCAATAGTAGGCCGGGTTGTATTGGTGGGCACACCCTGCAAACCACAAAAAATCGTTAAGACTCCAACTGTTTCATAGATCTCCGTTTCCTTCAAGCCCCGTTCAATCTCCTGGAGGAAATCAGGCCAAAAGTATGGCTAATCCCCACCAAACAAAACCAATCCCCACAAGACCATGCTCCACTACCAAACAAAGCTAAGCATGCACAGCCAGCATACCGTGGTACCGAATCTCTGAACTGTCCTCGATTTCCTTTACCAAAGCCGCCTCGGCTTCCTCCAACTCTTGTTTCACATGCCTGAAACCTTCCCGAAGCGTTTCACAGCTCACCATGCTCTGGCCAGGTGCTGGACAAGGACTGTCAGCTTTGGTCATCCGTACAACTTTGTGGTCCCTTCAAAAAAAGCTTGATCAAAAGATCTGCAAGTCGTAAACTTCACAACACGATTCCCTAAGTTTCGAGGTGGCCGTTTGAAGTTGTTTCTGGTAGGCCCATAAACATGAAGGCTTTTTACAACGTGCGGTCAGAACTGTTCGAGAGCGTGTTCACCAGCATCAACACGCGAAAGAATCGGATACCTTTCGATAGTGAAAAACCCATAAATCGATTACGGGTTATTATGGGTTATTTATGGGTTATTTACGGGTTTGATACGGGTTGCACATAACTGGGTTTTGTGGGTATTTATGGGTTTTTTATGGGACATTTATGGGTTATTTATGGGTTGTCGGTTTTTCTCCCACCAAAACAGCTTCGGAGTAAGAAAAGACGGCAGGAATCTATCCGGTGGCATCCGATTCTGTGCGGGGCACTTCAAATTGAATTTGGGATAAAAGGCTCCCACTGTGCTGGGATCTGTAGGCGCTTCGACCTTCTCAAATAGCTGTACACTTCCGCAAGCTTGGCGTACGGCCACTGGTGAGGATCATCCTCTTTGAAGCTCAAGAAGGACTCGAGAGCTGAGGGCAGTGGTGCCGGTGGATCTGGGAAGGTGAAGGCTGTGTCCACCAGTCTTGGGAAAAGATCGGTGACGGTCCGGGCAAACTTCACGGGATACACCCTTAGCTGCGCTAAATAGCAAGACCCTTGGACTATGAGCATCAAAGAAACACCAATTGAGCAATACAAACTTCTTGTAGTCATGTAGCTCGCTTTGGCGAAGGTATTTTGTTCCCTGGTATCTCTCCTTCTTGTTCTTGTCTTGGTACTTACGCACGGTTTCAACTCGGACAGGGCGTTCCTGTTTGAACTTCTTCCATTGCATTTTTTCCTCGGTCGAGTTTTTGAATAGCTGGGGATGATGCCCAGCAGTAGTGTCGTTTAGGTGTCGGCCCTGAGTAGTGGCACATCCACCATCCGACTCGAGATACCTGAGCTCATCCCTGAAAATCCGTTGGGGAAACTGTTCAAGTCTACACAAAAAAACTCCAAGAAGAACTGTTTAACAGTCACACATCCCAAGAGAGGTCAAGAGGACCTCTCTTGGTCACCTTACATCGTGAAAGCTGGGCCTACAAAAGCCTCTTTTCAGGGATGCCCCAAAAAGTGTTCAGACAACCACAAACCAAAGTGTTCGGGGCATCCTGTTTGGATGAACCCCGCAGAAATGAGTGCCCTTCAAGAACCTGTGTTCAACGAGAAACCAACCAGCCCCCATCACAAAACATACCACTTAAGAAAGACCAACAGACTAAAAGGCAGTTTTTTGGAGGTGTCCGATGTTAGCCCTAAAAAGCTCTTAAACCGGCTAAACACGGACACCTCCAAAAAATACCTTTCAGTGCTTTTGGGTGTGTTTTTTGAGCCTAGGTACACTAGCCATGCCCATCAACCGGATATGACAATTAAGCATGTAGCGGAAAGATGGGTAGTACTCCATGCAGCTCAGCCCCGGCTGCTCCAAGGCCCACGTGCCCCCAACACACGAAGTTAATATGCAGATCAAACAGCTCCTGCCAGAGTTTTGGTCCCCAGAAGAAAAGCTTCAACCCCACATCTATGTCATTGTTGACAGGCCCGGTCCTCTCACACATCTGGTTTCCCTGCACCACTGAGGGGTAGAGGGTGTTTCCAGTGGCGCAGCATGGGGATCTCATGGATGTACCTCGATTAATTGGCCCCCAGCTGGAACACTTCGTTGCCAGCAGGCTGAGGAACCGGTCCCTCCGACCTCTGAGGACAAAGACGCAGGCCAACCTCAAGTCGCAAGCCGGCGTGGCCAAAAGGCCACCGTACATGAGCAAAAAAAACGGTGAAAGATATCAAAAGCATTTACTCGAAGGAACGCGAAGCCAGAAGGGTCCAATATGTTCATATAGTCCGATCTATGTCTATGACCTTTCTGTTTCCCATATAATATGTCGAACTTCACTGCTCGCAGACCAGCATATCTCATCATCATCGTCGTGTTTGCGGTTCCCGCAAAGAACTCGAGGAAATCAACATCCTGTAACATGTAACATGAGCTGCGTGCATATATCGACACAATACATATATTGTCAAAACAGTATCGACCAAACCTCTGCAGTCCACCAGTCCTCATTCTTCAAGTTGAACTGCTCACCCAACCAATGGATCAGCAGTATCACCAGGGCGAGCCCCTGCATAACAATAACTAGAAACCCATCCCCTGCGAACATCTAGTTATAGAGTTCATTTGTTTATTGCACATTTGCAAAAAATCTGACTGCGCCTTTGGTGCGCCAAAAACACGAAGTCGCCACATGAGCAAATCGATTGGAATCATGATAGCGTGTGTGGATATCCCGGATCAACACCACTGAGCAAAACGGCTGTAAGGGAAATCTCCCAGCTAGGTTCATTTGCAAACAATCTTCAGTCCTGGAATCAAGTACGACAACAAAACACGGCGGGATCACCTTTTGATGTTTTCTTCAATCTATGGACTCTTGCCCTCCAGCGCTCTCCACGAAGCGGAGATGGGCCCGCTGCAGGCGGACCTGGGCGCAACAATCGTGCTGTGAGAAGGCTGGACTCGGGTGGGCTGTGTGAGTGAAGCTGTAGGGCAGAGCACGTGCCACGATACAAGAAATGGGCTCAAATGAACACCGGCTTGGGGCCATCATAGCCCGGGCTGTTTGTTTATAAGTATACTTTGGCAGGCAAGTGGTGGTTTTATCCCCATCGCAGACATTGTGAAGTTCGAGAGAGGGAGGCCAAAACAGTCCATTGCTGGATGCCTCTATCCTCAACTTCCATGCTACCCAAACGCCAGAAAGGCCTGCTACGATGTAAACCTGTCGCTTACTGCAAGACCCATCCCTGGCCATCCCATTCAAATCCATGTTGAATCCTTGCGCACTCCACAACCTTTGCGCCTGGGGGGTTGTCATTCAAATAATTCAGGGCATTCTGCCCATGGCGCTTCAAAAGTTCGATTTCCTGGTAGACCTCGTCGTCGATGGCGTGCTCTTTGCCATTCTCATTGACTTTAAAGTCAATCAGCAATGCCTGAGCTGAGAAGAGAAATGAAAATACATGCATTTAGATCTAGCAGCGTGCCATGTGTGAAAACATGTTTAGCTTCGCTGCAAGCATCTCAGCGCACCGCAAAGAAATTGCCAGTGCCCAATTGCGACAGCTGTCCGGACCCTTGAATTGGAAAGTGCCCACATCAAACTTTCCCTTGAGACCCTGAAGATATGTCACGCCGCATGCGGGCCTGGTCCAGTACTTGTTCAGTCGAGAGTGCTTCAGGTCGCAAACAAGTGATTTGAACTGCAATTTCACTTCATCCAATGATAGCGTCAGATCGAAAAGGCAGGCATAGTCTAGGAGCAGCTGGTAGCTTTCGTGTCGGCACAAGGCTGGGTCATACGGGGGGCGTGGCTCCTTTGGCTCGTTCGGCTTTGGCTGCTTTGGCTTGCGCTGCCGCTTCGGTTGGTGTTCCTCCTCGCCTTTTGCCTTGCGTTTTGGGCTGGCTTTGCTGCGCTGGCTGTTCTTGGTTTTGCTTGCCTTAGCTTTTGCCTTTGTCGCTAGGCTGGCCTCACTGGTCTTGGGAGTGCGTTTACTGCGGCGTGGCGGTTGCCCGTCTTGGTCATTGTTCTCTGGTCGTTTGTTTTTCTTCGCTTTGCTTTTGCATGCAGTCGGTGTGTGTGTTGATTTCTTGGCTGCTTCTCGCTCAGCTGCTGCTGCATGCTTCTTGCTCTCTGGGCTTCCAATTTTCAAGATGGAACGCTTGCGAGACACACGCGAGCGTTTCTTGGTGTTGGTGCTTCTCTGTTTTTTCTTTGATTTCCTTGTCTTTTTCTTGTCTTTCTTGGCTCCTTTCTCTTCTTTCTTTCGGCGCTTCATCTCCTGTTGCTGATCCCTACGGAGGATGAGATCATCCAAGATGTGGTGTTCCCGGGGAGGCTCCTGCGCAATCCGGTAGAGGCACAAATACACACGCAACACAACATACGCACAAGCTGCAACGCTCCACCAAAAAAACGTTTGAATCCTCCGGGATCGCGTTGGGTGGATCTTGATCAGCGTTGCCTTCACTGGCCTTGGACTCGCCAAAGTTCAAAGTCTTAGAGAGCCCATCACATGCGCCTTGGTATTGTCTTCGCCTCTCTGATGTGGTAATTGGCGGAGATTCAATCCGCGCAGGTTCCGGGGGGGTTGCTTGCTGCATGAGATTTACTGGTTGGGTCTCCACGTTGTCTTTCCCATACGGAAGTGAATCCTGGATCTCTTCAGGCGGTCCTTCAAACAAACAAACTGACACACAACTCACACGACTTGTATTTTTCACGCTTGCGTTGCAATGTCCTTGAACAACTTCAGGGGCCAAAGCAGGTGCAGCAGGAGTCTCCAACGACTCTTTGTATTTGGCTGCCTTTTGCCTCCGCAACCTTTGTATGCATTTTTCATCGGCGCTTAGATATATATATAGTGCAAACTAGCGTTCAGGTAAGTAACTCTGCCAAAGCTTCCTGGGCGCGCTTCAATCGTTCAATTGCTTCGGCACGGGTTTCGCCTAGCCAAGCACGCCCCAAGAAAAAAGTTGGCACATGTAAGCGAGTATGGTACATATGTTGCACCGAAGTGAATCAGGCCTTGTGGGTGATCCTTTTCGTTTGATGGCGTGACCGCCGGCGGAGGCATGCCAGTGACACCGCTCATTGCTGAAGCGGCTTCAGCACGAGGAGCAGCAGCTGGGCCAGGGTCCTGCAAGAATTGGTTGACACTAGAGATCGGGGGTGACCAAGCACACAAGATTTGCGATAGTGCGTGTGCGTGTGTGCAATGAGAGCTGGAGTCCTCAGATTGTTCCTGCACCTCTTCAGGGACACCCGAAACCGGATCTTCAACATCATCGTCCTGCACATGAAATATCAGTTATTCGGGTTTCTTTTTTTTGACACCACGATGAAGTGATGCGGAGCAATCATGTTAGATCTACGCCTCCTCCATGGTTTCACGGCTAGACTTTCCCGCAGCACGTTCTGCACGCTTGGCCTCCAACTTGGCGTTCACTGTGGTCGCCGTATCCTATTTGGAATTGGGTGCCAAACAACCTCTCAAATCTTAATGCATGGGATGTTATTGAGACTTGGCAACCCGTCCTGTAAATAAGGAGCCAACAAAAGCACCATCTCTTGAAATTCAGGGTCCTGGGCCAGGGTGCAAAAACATGCTGCATGACAATTTGACACAAAACATTTAGCAATTTTCCACTTTGGTTGGCCCCCCCCTTTGGCCAATATAAGGGAAACATGACCAAACACACTAGCCTACAACTATTGCAGAAGAGCTTCTGTTGTCACTTCACCCCTTCGGATCTTCATCTTGATGAACCCGAGAAGCTTCCGGATCTGCCATGCCTCTGATTGGATGTCGAGGTTGGTCGGATACTGTTTGTTCCGCATATAGATATCATGGACGCAAGCCCTGAGTTTCTCGATGTCAGGCAACTTGGTATCTGGAACCACTGCCATGCGATTCAAGACGGGTACCAAAAGGGCTTTTGCCCCCACTGTGGCTTTGATGTCCACATCACCCACAACGACCAGTTTTCCTCCATCACGAAGGTCATTTCGAATCGAAGCGGTGGAGTCCCAATCGTCCACCAAACCATCAAACTCGGGTCTTTCGACCTGCCCCATCTCACCCGAACTCTTGGCCATGCTATGATCGACCTTTGATCCCAAAACAGCTGCCAAATGGAAAGTGTTGAGCTTCAGTGCTTGCAGGCCATGGAGATGAGCGCTGATGACGCGTATCACCGGGGCCCCGTGCGAAAACGAGCCACCATTCGCCATGCGTGCTGATGGAGATGGGGATGCCATGCACTAAAGTGGTGGGTTCCAACCAAGAACACGCCGGTTTCATCAGCTCACTTCTAAGTGCATCAGGTTGTAGTCCTCTGGACCTTCTTTTACCAGTGTTCTTGTTAGATCCATCTTCAAGCTTGATGACGGCTGAGGATCGTCCAAAACCGTGTTTTCGACTCCAAAACCGAGTTTTCAAGCACAGAGGTCTCCATAATCGTGTTTTGAATCCGCACCCTACAATTTTGTAGGTTCTGGAGGCTCCAGGAATGTATATTATATAATATACCTTGAGTCTCCAATGACCCTTTTAAATGTGCCATTCCAAGAAAAAGAGGTTTTTGAAAGACAGCACTCTTTTTTGCATATGTCACGAAATGTTCCTTTTTTGTTTGTGCCCTGTCAGATCCTCCTCAGACAGTGTCCTGAGACCGGTTTTCGGCGTCCAAAACGCGTCTTTTTGCGTCCAAAAGACGCCTTTAAGCGTCCGCACCGGATGAAGATTCACTCTGTACCTTTTCTGGAGTCCTCATCTCTGAAAACGCGTTTTTCGATCAAACACGCACAAATATTAGACCCAAAACAGAAACACAGAAAAACATATTTGGAGACTCAAGGTATATATATACAATATGTCACGTTCAATTTTATTGTTACAGTCTTTTTTGAGTGCAAGCATCGGACTCTATCAAGGGCAAGAATGGAAACCTTTGTCAGTGCCTCATCCACGTTGCCAGGGTTGCCTCTTCAAATGCAGGCTTTGAAGCATCGAGCCAGGCGACAGCAGCGTTGCGAGCAGACACCCTTGAGGGGTTTAAACACAAACCTCGGCTTGTCGGTCTTTTTTTGCTGTTTTGCGATAATGTATTGACACACATATATCGGCCGGGGATTTGGCAAAAGTTCAATGGCGACTCGACGGCGCGAGGCTGAGCAGCCGATCGTGCACATCGACAGTCAGCCGCCTCCGCACTTGTGCTTACGCTGCTTGTGAGGACGATGTGAGTCCCAGGGCACCATGGCAAGACAGGGGCTTGAGATTTTGGATGATATGATGATTTGATATGATTTGACAATTTCACTATAGACATCATGGGTTGTTTAAATGTTTTTCATTGGTTTGCTCAATGGTGATCACTATTCTGCCACCCATTTTGCGTCCAGAACAGCCAGAGAGAATGGTCGTCCAAAACTGGGATTTGGATGGGTTTGGGCCCCAACAACAATGGCTGTGGGTCAACTCCTGGAGCCAGAGTCTGTAGCGAACGACCTCCCAGATAGGGTCAACCAAGGTATAGTGGTGTTGACCCACAGCTAAATAACAAATTCAATAGACCGCTTACATGCACATGTTGATTTCCTTACTTAAACTTCCAAGCAAATGGTTTTCGCTGGCATTCGGATTGCCCATGCCCTGTCACATGGCTGGCTACCTAATCCTTGTGAAGGTCCGGTCTTTAGAGGACCGAGAGACGTGTTTACGGCAATGAGCGACACCTTCTTTTCGATCAAGTCTTTTTGATGCAAAGATTCGTGACACCGAAGCATTGAAAGCACGAGGGTGTCAGTCACCGTGGTGTTACCGTAATTGCTTGGCACGGTAACTGTTCGATCAAGTCTTTTGTGTCAGTCTAGCAATCTCAAGCCTGATCTCGAGGGGATCCAAGGAGCCTCAGGTCCGATCGGAGCCTCAGGGCCCGGTGAACCCGCGTGAAAACCCTCTCCCAGAATCTCCCAGAAACCGAAACCGTTGATGTTGGGGTCCAGGAGAAGCCTCCTCTCTTCTATTATTGTGATGCCAGGATTTGGAAGATATGGCTCCTTCTATGTTACATGGACCTTTCAACACCGGGTGCCCGTGCTCATGCTAAGACCGTTGATTAAAACCTGTTGCATCGGGTCGAGCATATTTTTCAAACCACTGACATCAGAAGGTGACCAGTTTGATGATGACCGGTGAAGGTAGGAGTTCAAACATAAGAAGACCAGGATTGACATCCGAACGGACATGTTGGTGATCTTTAGTCCAATCTTGGGTGGTGACACAGTGTTGAATAAGTTTGACTGGATGGAGGAACAATGTGGAATATGCGAATGCGAACGCGTTGAACTTGTTGTCAATGACACGGTTGAATGAGCTATAATCTGTGGAAAAGTTTCAAGGCTGTCCTTGGCCTGCCAATGCCTGCTTTGGATGACTTTCTGCATGGTCAATGTTTTGAAGTTACAGCACATGATGTTCTGTTTTATGTATTTTCTGTATACTGTACTATATTGTTATATATAATATGTTTGTTTCCATGTCCTTTGGTCATGGTCATGGACATACTTCTGACTGTTTGGACCTTGGGTTGCCTCACATTGTATATACCGTAAGTCATTTGTTTCACCGTGGACGATGCGCCACCAAAACGGTCCAAAGTGGCCCGCCTGGTTTTTGGGCGGGCTGGGGTCTGCTGTGGTCCGGGCGTCCATCAAAAGGTGGACAGACAGATCGGTGCTCTTAAAAGCAAACACAGACAATCAAACAAAACAAAACGCAATGTTTCTTTTGAACAAAAGCAATATCAAGCAGCAAGCACAATGTGTGTTTACTTTTAAAGAAAATACAGAAAATCAAGTCAAGAAGAGCCAAATGTGTTTTTTGGTGTGTTTAGTTGTTCCCATCATGCTCCATAAACTGGAGCTTGTAGGATCGCGACCATCAGCGACCCGCCGACCCGGTGGGCATGTGGAAGCTTGTACAGAGTCGTGGCTTTCGGCGTCGGGTTGAGAGTGAGCGGTCACGTTGGAGATAGGCACTCCATGTATGATGAATGTGCTTAGTAACCAACAGCTCAACTTGGAGAGCAAGCAAGTATGTGTTTGTATGTGTTTGTTGTTTTTAACCATAATTGGAGTTTTCCATAGTTTTCCATAAAACCTAGGAACCAAATGAATAGTGTGAGCGCTTCTTCAAGAAAGCTCCCCAGCGTGAGAGCGAACAAGTTTGTCCTTTAATCAAGTAGGCACCTACTTAATTACGTAGTAGGGCCAGGGGGACGGGCGAAACACACAAAGTAATTAAAGATATGCACATATTCTGTGGTGTTTGGCTTTGGCTTTGGTCCACCGTCGCTTCGCCTCACCGGTCGATCAGACCAGTCCACCACCACCTCGTCGTTTTCAGCCACGAGATCTCGGTGGAACATGGTGGAGGGGGAAACGGAAACGGATGATTTGACTTGTGGGTCCCAATGTGGGTGTTGTATTTAGGAAACCAAACATCCTGGTGTTACGACATGCGCAAACGACATGCGACCAACCCATGCAAAACCCATCGCATTTTCGGAGACTTCACCGACGGTGAACCGGTCCTTCGCTACATGGACCGCTCCAGGTTGAATGACCCATCCCCATAGAAAGACTGGTTGAATGACCCATCCGGGGCGTTTTACAATTTGATCTTTCAGTTTCAGACAAATCCGGGTGTGGGAGAGATTTGGGGAGCATTACAAACATAGGTCCCGATGTCCCGATGTCCCCACAATTTGTCTTTGACCACTGCAACCCGTGCAGCTGTCGGTGGGTTCCCTTTGCTTCGATCTATCTATCAGACGCAGTGACCAGAATCTGTCTGCTTTGGGGGGCAGCGTTGGCTTACTTGTGGACCATAAGTTGTGAGTAGTTGTACTATATATTTAATTCAATTTTAACTTATAACTTATGACTGTCAAAGACAAGGTTGATTTAAGTTATGAGCAACAGTTATGGCATCGAATAACATTCGGTGTATTTTGCACACGATATTTGTTCACTTCTTTCACTTCATAGCAAGATCGCCAAGCCGGGCTTTCTCAGATTTGATTTGATGTACCAAGCCTGTGTCCGGACCCCTTTAAAACCTGAGAATGTCGGTTTGCAGTGGGCATGCTGTTTGGTGCTGACGGAAAACGCATTTCTTCAGCTTCACCCACTGACTGAACGTGGTTGTCGTTACATTCTGCCGCCCAGCTTGGTCAAACATGCGAACAGCAAAGATCAGCACACGCATGCTGAATGCAGCCTGGTGAAACAATAATGATGGATGACTTACTGTACTGTACTCGACCGGTACCATTCACCGCATCATGGGCATGTGGTGCTGGCTGCAGTCGTTCTCGGGAAGCATCCCACCAAATCCTCCAATCCTGGTCGAGCATGTTTCTTTGCCGCTTCGGCGAAAAGAGGCGAAAGCGTGTTTTGTTCCCCTGCTTCAGACACCCTTGCGCGCGTTTGTCCAGCTCTATGTACTCCTACACTTGCGCGGCCAACCCCACAGTGTCCGAGTCGGGAGAGGCCGGGCCTTCATCCAGCGGCGGTTTTATGGCTTTGAACACCAAGGGTTGGAACTGCAAAATGGTTAAACTGTAATGGAAAGCTTCATGGAAAATTCTTGTGGGCCTAGAGGGGAGCTTTTGTTAGAACAAGTCTGAGTTCCGGCACTGCTGGAAGATCACAAAGGTTTAGAGTCTAGATAACACATGATAAGACAATGTGGCGACACAAGTAGGAGACCGAAGCAATCACACAAAGTATATAAATAAGAACTGATAATATGTGTTCATTAGTCTTTGTACTTCCCTGTGTTACTGTCATCAAAGGATATCAAAGCAATCTGGTCTGAAGGGTTCGGCCCGAGTTCGGTCATGGTCCATCAGAGGTATCACACCCATGCCTTGCCTTGGCAGCTGGTTTTTTCTTGAGAAGGATGGCAAGATGCATGGTCCATCATATTAGGTCGTTAGGTTGCCTTTTGTTTGTTGGTTCACATAATCGTTGTCAACAGTTGGCATGGACATGGATGTTCAGTGGCCCGGCCGTGTGATTCATGAGGGAACTCCATGTCATTAAACAACAGGTGGTCCTGGTGGTCCCCAACTACAGTAGATAGAAACGGGATTTCCCTTTTCTATTTATTTCGGCGTCTGTATGCTCCTCGCATCTCGGCTGAACGTTCCCCAGATGATCTTTTTTAATCGAGGACGTCCTGCTGTCGTTCTGCAGGTGCATCGCTTGGTCTCGGATGCCTTGCAAGAAAGCCATGAGAAGTTCATGCGGCGCTTAGTTGCTCGGCTTAGTTCACTCGCCAGTGCCGGGGGAATGGAGCTCTGGGCAATCGAAGATGTGAGGCGAGAACCAGAGAGGAAGTGGCTGTAAGGGATGGATGAGTGGGAGTTTGGTGAAACATGGGGTCAATTGCTTGATGGCAAAGTTGTGTTTTACATGCGGCTAAAAGTGGCAACATCATGCAATAGCAGGATTGGTTGAAATCTGTTGTTTTGCACACGTGGCACACAAGCAAGGGCAGATACGCATACTTTTTTGTTCGTCCCAAGTTCCATCGGTTTGAGAGGTATAACATATATATATATATATTATACAACATTATACATACACAGTATGATACACCCATATGATCCACATGATTTGCATATTGATTGTATAAGATATGATAATATCTACAGCATACCACGATAATCACACATCCTGGAATATTTTGTTCAGTGGATAGCACCATTTCCCCAAAAAAGATTGACCATTTTCCGAATACCAAACCGCTGGTGTTCCACTTCCATGCTTAGCTCTCCCAGCTCGTGTGGGACACAGTTCCCGTGCCAAGAGTCGGGACGGACGACTCTTCCGGTGTCAGTATGTACCACAGACATACATCATACTGACATATACAAATGATTATATGGCTTTTGGGGTCAAACCAGAAGTCGCCCGTTTTTGGCTGGGTAGGTTGACCATGTTTTGGTAGTCCTTTCTATTCATGGCATGGCCATCCAGCTTACAGTGGGCATCGCACTTGTCGGTGTCTTCCGAGTCGCCGGGTCAGGACCAGTGGCTCACCCAATTGGAATGTCGGCTTCACTTGGACGACGCTTACCTCTATGAGGCCCAAGCTGGACATCCCATACATGTTGCTGGAGCAATTGTTCAAGGATGGTGCTATGAGAAAGCAAGAGACATCAGAAGAATTCTCAAGCAGTGCAGGTTCTTGCTGCACACGTTCGAATCCCCTCCCGGTTCCGCGCCTCGCTGCCGTCGCTGGACCTCGCTGTGGAGCGTCGGTGCTGGCGCGTCGGTGTGCGGTGCATCGGGGTGGTGTCGGTGGTGGCTTCTTGCTCCTAGTAGTAAGGCCAGGAGCCCCTAGTAGCGTCCTTGCTCCTGGTAGTAGCGTCCTTGCTCCTTGTAGTGAGCCGC